TGCTGGGAGACCTGGAGGCGATGCTGAAGTCAAAGCAGAACGAGAAGGTGGCAATGGAAGCTAAGATCTCCACCTTGCAGGCGGCGATGCTCAAAATGGAGGCTGAACTGAAAGAGAATCAGCAGCAGGATCCCGGGATGAAGAAGGTGCGACTGTCCACCTGTCACTGTGCTGAATTGAATCAAGCTTGTCCAGGCTGAACAGCGAGCCGCGTCCAGCAAGTTCAAGGCGAAGGCGCATGTGGGTGGTCGGGATGCCCAACACCAGACGCTGGACAAGTGTCATGGACGCTGAGTAAGTGTTCCGGACGCTGAGTGAGTGTCCCAGACTACTAAGATTGGGAAATGCAGCAATCTACATCAAGCATCATTGACACAAAATGTGGCAGGCGCAGCCTAGGAAAAGCGTGCCAGCGACAGAGCCAGAAGCAGCGCAGCAGTGTCAGGCACGTCCACCAACAGACGCGCAGTATGGCAATTGCATGTTGCGCCAGGAGCCCTCGCAACCGTCGAAGAGAAAAAGATGAAACAATTGAGTCTCAGGAGGGGCATGTTGAGCAACTAAACTGGACCAAGCTTCTGCGACTAACACTGTGCCAGGATTGCCAACACAGAGGCACGCGGCTGGGTTTAAGTTTCACTTTATCGGGAGGGTTTAGGCATGCTGTTGCGCAATGGCAAGTTTGACAAATTCGACGCTGACAAAGTGTCGCATGACGCTGAGCAAGTGTCAACACAGGTACAGAGACAGAGAGAGAGAGACAGAGAGAGAGAGAGAGAGAGAGAGAAAGAGAGAGAGAGAAAAAGAGACAGAGAAAAAGAGAGAGAGAGAGAGAGAGAAGGGAGAAGGGAGAAGGAAAGAGAGCGACAGCCAGGTGCAACAGGACCAGGACATGGCACAGTGAACATCGCGGGCCAAAAGTGCGAGAGGGGAATTGTGCACACATTGCTCACACATTGCCCATTGCATTGGCATCAAGTTTGCAAGCTCATTGATGGGTTTAGCGCAGCCGAGGAACGTTCTGGCAGCTGGTCGCGCAGCATCGAGGTCCTGAGGACAGACACAGTTGGGGGGTGGGGAGGGAAGGACACATAAGGTGTTGCAACTGAATCCCAAACAAAAGAGTTTCAACCTTCAGTGGATGAGGCTTCACATGCGTCTTCAGGGATGAAACCAGTTCTCCACTTGCTCAGCGGTCACTTGCACTTTCTCAGCGCCTAGGCACTTACTCAGCGCCTTTTTGTCTGTGCCCTGTAAATGGATGCGACTTAAAGAATCCAATAGCACATCCCGAATCTGGTCATTAGTCATGGCTGTGTGTGTGTCCTGTTGATGGGTTTGTTTAACAAGTCATTGTTGCACAGTGGGTTGGTTCTACCACCTCTGGACAGCTGCCAGCAATGATCTGACACAGCGTTTCAAAAGGTGACAACTTTTTTTGTGATGTGACCAACCAGCTTCTCCAAGACTCAAGTGCATCCAGGCAGGAACGACCGAAGCGACAGAGCACTTACTCAGCGCTCTTTGCACTTGCTCAGCGCATAGGCACTTGCTCAGCGCCGTTTTCTTTGCACAGACACTTGATCAGCGCCTTTTTGTGCTTTCGACCGGCTTCGACCCTTCAGCCCTGCCTTTGCCATGCTTGTCCTTGTTAACCTTGGCACTTGGCCAATCTGAGTACCTGAGTCTACGGCCTGCAGGAGAATTGGTGGAGTAGGGGCTTGAGTGGGACTGGCTCAATATGTTAAAAACGCCTCAATGTTTGCAAACCGCATAAAAGGGGCAAAGGAGTTGGGGTGTCTTCATTATTGGGGCCCACTGCCTGGGGTTGTGCGGCGCAATGCATTTCAGCAAAATGTTTGGGTGAGCAAATACCGATCACAAAACAATTTCAAAACAGTTTGGCCTGAAACCTGCAAACATCTTGCATACCCAAAACTCAAATACCAAGTTGGTGCTCAAAGGCAAATTGCAGCCCGCCAAAAAGGCACAGAAGCCAGAAGAAAAGGCACAGATGCACAAAAAAATCTTAAATCAGGAAGAAATGCCGCAAATCCAAAAAGGCGCCTTTTTTGATTTGCGGCAGAAATTTCTGCCGCAACGAATCTCTAGGTATATATATATATATGCTACCCCCCCCCCCGAGGTACCCAGGTTTGGGCTTGGTTCAGATGTGCTTTGACCGCGGAAGCAGGCAGGAAGAATAGCTCAGATTTGCACACTCGGAGACCAGAGGAAGGAGGTTTGCCTCATTGAAGAAAGACGCCTTGGACGTGACCCATGCCCTTTTTCAATGGCTCTTCCACACAAAGACTCTTCCACTGAAAATTCACACATCCTCTCACCCAACACATGTCTTTTTACATGTCTTCTTTCAATGAAACAAAGGCAGCATATGTGAAAGAGTTGCCGAGGAAACGGAATGGCTGGGACAGTGTGTGTTACATAAATGGTGGTTTTACATGATGTTTACTGTCTTTTTTTGCTGTACTTTTATGAATCACTGTAACCCTGACTCTTCCACAAAGACCCACATATCATCTCGCACAAAAACATGTCTTTTTCAATAACTCTTCTCTACAGAAAATTCACATATCCTCTCCCCCAGAACATGTCTTCTTTCACAAAGGTTCACATATCCTCTCACCAAAACATGCCATTTTTCAGAGGCTCTTCCACAGCAAATTCACATATCTCCCCACACAAACCCCTTCTTTCAATGACCCTTCCACAGAATATTCACACATCATCTCACACTTCTCTACAGAAAATTCATTCATCCTCTCACCCAAAACATGTCTTTTTGCATGCCTTCTTTCACAAAGGTTCACATATCCTCTCACCAAAACATGCTTTTTCAAAGGCTCTTCCACAGAAAGTTCACATATCTTCCCACACAAATAATGCCTTCTTTCAAAGACTCTTCCACAGAAAATTCACACATCCTCTCACCCAACACATGTCTTTTTACAAGACTTCTTTCAATGAAACAAAGGCAGCATATGTGAAAGAGCTGCCAAGGAAAGGGAACCCTGTGTAGAACAAAACCAGGCTTACATAAATGGTGGTTTTACATGATCTTTACTGTCTTTTGCTGTACTTTTATGAATTACTGTAACCCTGACTCTTCCACAAAGACCCACATATCATCTCACACAAAACATGTCTTGTTTAAAAACTCTTCTCTAAAGAAAATTCACATATCCTCTCACCCAGAACATGTCTTCTTTCACAAAGGTTCACATATCCTCTCACCAAAACATGCCATCTTTCAAAGGCTCTTCCACAGAAAGCGCAGATATCTTCCCACACAAACCATGCCTTCTTTCAAAGACCCTTCCACAGAATATTCACACATCATCTCACACAAAGCATGTCTTGTCAATAACTCTCTCTACAGAAAATTCATTCATCCTCTCGTCCAAAACATGTCTTTTTGCATGCCTTCTTTCACAAGGAATCACATATCCTCTCACCAATCCCATGCACTTTTTCAATGGCTCTTCCACACAAAATTCAATTCACATATCCGCCCACACAAACCATGCCTTCTTTCAAAGGCCCTTCCACAGAATATTCACACATCATCTCACACAAAGCATGTCTTTTCAACAACTCTTCTCTACAGAAAGCTCATTGCTCCTCACCCAAAACATGTCTTTCTGCATGCTTTTTTTCACAAGGAGTCACATATCCTCTCACCAACCCCATGCACCTTTTCAATGGCTCTTCCACACAAAATTCAATTCACATATCCGCCCACATAAACCATGCCTTCTTTCAGAGGCTCTTCCACAGATAATTCACATATCTTCCCACACAAACCATGCCTTCTTTCAAAGACTCTTCCACAGAAAGTTCACACATCCTCTCACCCAACACATGTCTTTTTACAAGACTTCTTTCAATGAAACAAAGGCAGCATATGTGAAAGAGTTGCCAAGGAAAGTGAACCCTGTGTAGAATAAAACCAGGCTATGGCTGGGACAGTTTTTGTTACATGGTGGTTTTACATGATGTTTACTGTCTTTTGCTGTACTTTTATGAATCACTGTAACCCTGACTCTTCCACAAAGACCCACATATCATCTCACACAAAACATGTCTTTTTCAATAACTCTTCTCTAAAGAAACTTCACATATCCTCTCACCCAGAACATGCCTTCTTTCACAAAGGTTCACATATCCTCTCATGCTCCGCAAATGTTGCGCAACATTTGGAATTTGTTGCGCAACATTTCCCTGGACCAAAAAACCAAAAAAACAATAATCCAAAAAACCAAAAAACCAAAAAATCCAAGCCATGGTGGGGGCTAGGATTGGTTTTTTTGTGTGTTTTTGTTTTTTTTGCTTTTTTTTGTGGTTTTTTGGTTTTTTGGTCCACAAAATGGCCTGGCAGAAAATGCATGAGTTCAATCAAAATACACTGTAAATATCAATGGTTTTGATACATGATGCAACGACACCTGGGTACTGGGGGGGGGGTACCATATATATATATATGTACATTTATACATGCATACACGTATATATCCATATCTAATGGTCCAAATACAGATGTACTTTGTTGTGGGCACCGCCACTTGAGGAATGTCAGGGAACACGGACAGCCCGCTCCGGAGGCAATTGGAATCACTGGCACAACGCGCATCTCAAGTTGAGCACCCATAGCGCGAGGGGCCAGACAAGTACAATATTATTCTCCCGTTATTGTGATGTAATTTGATTTAACCCGACACATTCTACTTCTTGAGGCATATCGCTAACGTTTGCCGGCATAAGCAGATGTCAATCCGGGCATAGCGCGGTCTCCACATGTCCCACATTGGCTGTTGTCGTGAGTCTGTCCCCCTGAGCTCAGGATGTGTTTTTCCTCTACGACCTTTTGGCTTGACCAAGCGTCAAATCGGCGGTTGCCACTATGAGGGACCCTTCCAGGTGGCCATGGCGACAGTTTCCTGGCTGAGGGACCCAGAAACGGACCCGCGAACTTTTCGCAGGAAGGGGCCCTGGCAGAAGAGCGAGCCCGGCACCATGAGGCCATCCCGGACTTGATGGTGGCCTTGTATTTGTGTGTTGGATTGGTTCAAAGGGAAACGGGTCCTGATGGAATTTGGGGCCTCAAAATAGGAGTCTTTTTACACCCCTAAAGCAATTTGGGGTGGGGCAGCAAACTCGCAGCTGGCAGCTTGTATGTGAGCCTTTCTTAAAATGGTAGACCCCCCTTTGGGCTGATAGTGAAAGGGACGCAAAAAGGAAAGCGACCATTTTAGGTGGCCACCACCTTTAGAACCCTCATGCTCTGAAGGGTTTTGGGAAACACACCTAAAGTCTATCATCGTTTTGGTGTTCGGGACAAATGGCTCGAGGAGCAGTATTTGAGTAACGTGCTGCATGCACATTTTTGTTGGGCAAATTGCACCTGGCAAATCAAGCTGAACCGGGCATTGACATGTCACCAAGATTTGTTAAGCAGTGGCTGGCATGTGAGCTGTCCGACTGAAGGCAGAAGGCAGGTCATGGCGTCGGGCTGCATGCAAGATGATTGGTATCATAGTATGATTCTGCAGAGCACACAGTTTGATTGAAACATTTCTCAGACTTGAGCCGAACTTGAAGAATGGAACATCTATTTACAGAGGTTGCATTGACAGTGGATTCACCACAATTGATCCATACTCATGCTACTGGTAGCTTGCTCGAAACCTGAACCCCAATGACTAGCGGATTGCGCATTGTGCGGTTTACGGATTAGATTATGCGGATTGCGGATTATGGATTGCACGGATTGTCCATGCTCCAAGGTACGGTTTTGACCCACAGTTTGCAGCGCAGATTGCGGATGAAGACGATTACAAACCAAACCAAGGAGTAAGCGCATTGATTGCGATTAGGCCCCTCGGGATTTCGATCAGGCTAGTCATGCTGGCCCACCATTGCTTCATTTCATACATCATGCCCAATCTGTTGGCCAGGAAATGCAGAAGCAGCAGACAGATGCAGTCGAGGAGAAGAAAAAGCTTCGCCGGGAGACCGCCAAGAAGGTTGCAGAACTTCAGGCGAGACGCCTGAGTGCTGTCCAAGTTTGAGTGCCAAGTAGGGTTTGATTGTGCCAACAACGCATGGGGCGCCCACCCAAATTTACGACTAGAACCAATGGGCCCCACCCAATCTGTGTTGGATGCCCAAGAGTGCAGAAGAACGCTTTCCCGCTGTTTCTAGTTGAGCAACGGGGGCAGTAGTGGCATGCTTTGGTGCTGTGCTGCCCTATTTGCAGGCCCCTCATGACTGCTGTCATCCATATATGCCACACGCCCGATCCACTGCCTAGCATACGTGCAATATGCAGGTTCATACACAAGCGGGTCTATGTGTGCATAGGACATGCATGTACATATCCATATGTCTTTGAATGTGTGTATGCATTTCCATAGCTATGTAATTATATAGGTATACATAAATGATATACGGACTTATGCATACATGCACCTGCATACACAAAGCAGTTTGTGCCTTTTGATACCAGGGCCTACTTCCAATCACCGGGTTTTGAGCAACGAGCTCCGTTCGACAGGCGCGCGGTACAGAGCTTGCAGAGGAGGTGCGAAGGGTTGAGATGCAACCTTCAGCCGGCAGCTGCGTGGTGGGGGAGCGCACAAGTTGCTTTGCTTGTTTCTGGACCTTTCGCTCTTTGCATTCTTGGGTTCTTCTGCTTGGTGGCAGGGATTAAGATAGCAATGGACAATATTACAAGGGGAACCGGTTCAGGATGGGCCGCCAAAACATTTGAAAAGTTGATAGGCGTATCAGCTTAGCCAAATTCCTCATCGTTTATGTTTCTGCTTTTGTTTGCGGCAATCCGGGGCATTTGTGTGTTGTAGCATCACTGCTTGCAGAGCACAACTGTTTTTGTTCATTCAATGTGCTGGTGTTTTGTGGCACTCCCGGCTTCCTGGGTGTCGGGGCAGGTGTCAAGGTGGGAGTTTCTTTCAGATATTTGGAGCAGGACTTGGGTGGTCGGAAATGACTCGTACGCGGTTCCACGGGCCAGGTCCAAGAGGCGACCAACAAGGCCAAGGAGGCCGAGAGGACCATGCACTCCAGGCTGGGTCACCAAGTTCCGTCATAGGCTCTGTCAGGCTGTCCGGAAAAACATGAAAACAAGGGAACGGGCGAGGAAACAGGGAAAAAGGGACGGCGTAAAAAACATGGGGCTCCGGTGTATGAAGGGCAGATGTATACACGCGTATTACGCGTACTTGTGTCTACTTGATACTTGTGTGTATAACATATATACTTTAGAGCCTCCGGCTCAGTCCGCCGACATTGTCCTCTCCCTTTTCTCCTTCTTCCTCTCTTCCTTGTCTCCCTTGTGTGTTCTGTCGTCCTCTCTCCCTCCCTCTGCTCCCATCCTCCCCATCCCCCCAAGCCTCTCTCTCCCCACTCTCCCTCTCTCGTATGTATGCATGCATGTACATATGTATGTATGTATGTATGTATGTATGTATGTATGTATGTATGTATGTATGTATGTATGTATGTATGTATGTATGTATGTATGTAATGTAATGTAATGTAATGTAATGTAATGTAATGTATGTATGTATGTATGTATGTATGTATGTATGTATGTATGTATGTATGTATGTATGTATGTATGTATGTATGTATGTATGTATGTATGTATGTATGTATGTATGTATGTATGTATGTATGTATGTATGTATGTATGTATGTATGTATGTATGTATGTATGTATGTATGTATGTATGTATGTATGTATGTATGTATGTATGTATGTATGTATGTATGTATGTATGTATGTATGTATGTATGTATGTATGTATGTATGTATGTATGTATGTATGTATGTATGTATGTATGTATGTATGTATGTGTATGTATGTATGTATGTATGTATGTATGTATGTATGTATGTATGTATGTATGTATGTATGTATGTATGTATGTATGTATGTATGTATGTATGTATGTATGTATGTATGTATGTATGTATGTATGTATGTATGTATGTATGTATGTATGTATGTATGTATGTATGTATGTATGTATGTATGTATGTATGTATGTATGTATGTATGTATGTATGTATGTATGTATGTATGTATGTATGTATGTATGTATGTATGTATGTATGTATGTATGTAATGTATGTATGTGTATGTATGTATGTATGTATGTATGTATGTATGTATGTATGTATGTATGTATGTATGTATGTATGTATGTATGTATGTATGTATGTATGTATGTATGTATGTATGTATGTATGTATGTATGTATGTATGTATGTATGTATGTATGTATGTATGTATGTATGTATGTATGTATGTATGTATGTATGTATGTATGTATGTATGTATGTATGTATGTATGTATGTATGTATGTATGTATGTATGTATGTATGTATGTATGTATGTATGTATGTATGTATGTATGTATGTATGTATGTATGTATGTATGTATGTAATGTATGTATGTATGTATGTATGTATGTATGTATGTATGTATGTATGTATGTATGTATGTATGTATGTATGTATGTATGTATGTATGTATGTATGTATGTATGTATGTATGTATGTATGTATGTATGTATGTATGTATGTATGTATGTATGTATGTATGTATGTATGTATGTATGTATGTATGTATGTATGTATGTATGTATGTATGTATGTATGTATGTATGTATGTATGTATGTATGTATGTATGTATGTATGTATGTATGTATGTAATGTATGTATGTATGTATGTATGTATGTATGTATGTATGTATGTATGTATGTATGTATGTATGTATGTATGTATGTATGTATGTATGTATGTATGTATGTATGTATGTATGTATGTATGTATGTATGTATGTATGTATGTATGTATGTATGTATGTATGTATGTATGTATGTATGTATGTATGTATGTATGTATGTATGTATGTATGTATGTATGTATGTATGTATGTATGTATGTATGTATGTATGTATGTATGTATGTATGTATGTATGTATGTATGTATGTATGTATGTATGTATGTATGTATGTATGTATGTATGTATGTATGTATGTATGTATGTATGTATGTATGTATGTATGTATGTATGTATGTATGTATGTATGTATGTATGTATGTATGTATGTATGTATGTATGTATGTATGTATGTATGTATGTATGTGTATGTATGTATGTATGTATGTATGTATGTATGTATGTATGTATGTATGTATGTATGTATGTATGTATGTATGTATGTATGTATGTATGTATGTATGTATGTATGTATGTATGTATGTATGTATGTATGTATGTATGTATGTATGTATGTATGTATGTATGTATGTATGTATGTATGTATGTATGTATGTATGTATGTATGTATGTATGTATGTATGTATGTATGTATGTATGTATGTATGTATGTATGTATGTATGTATGTATGTATGTATGTATGTATGTATGTATGTATGTATGTATGTATGTATGTATGTATGTATGTATGTATGTATGTATGTATGTATGTATGTATGTATGTATGTATGTATGTATGTATGTATGTATGTATGTATGTATGTATGTATGTATGTATGTATGTATGTATGTATGTATGTATGTATGTATGTATGTATGTATGTATGTATGTATGTATGTATGTATGTATGTATGTATGTATGTATGTATGTATGTATGTATGTATGTATGTATGTATGTATGTATGTATGTATGTATGTATGTATGTATGTATGTATGTATGTATGTATGTATGTATGTATGTATGTATGTATGTATGTATGTATGTATGTATGTATGTATATGTATGTATGTATGTATGTATGTATGTATGTATGTATGTATGTATGTATGTATGTATGTATGTATGTATGTATGTATGTATGTATGTATGTATGTATGTATGTATGTATGTATGTATGTATGTATGTATGTATGTATGTATGTATGTATGTATGTATGTATGTATGTATGTATGTATGTATGTATGTATGTATGTATGTATGTATGTATGTATGTATGTAATGTATGTATGTATGTAATGTATGTATGTATGTATGTATGTATGTATGTATGTATGTATGTATGTATGTATGTATGTATGTAATGTATGTATGTATGTATGTAATGTATGTATGTATGTAATGTATGTATGTATGTATGTATGTATGTATGTATGTATGTATGTATGTATGTATGTATGTATGTATGTATGTATGTATGTATGTATGTATGTATGTATGTATGCATGTATGTATGTATGTATGTATGTATGTATGTATGTATGTATGTATGTATGTATGTATGTATGTATGTATGTATGTATGTATGTATGTATGTATGTATGTATGTATGTATGTATGTATGTATGTATGTATGTATGTATGTATGTATGTATGTATGTATGTATGTATGTATGTATGTATGTATGTATGTATGTATGTAATGTAATGTAATGTAATGTAATGTAATGTAATGTATGTATGTATGTATGTAATGTAATGCATGTAATGTATGTACGTATGTATGTATGTGTGCATGCATGCATGCATGCATGCATACATACATGTATGCATGTATGTATGTATGTAATGTATGTATGTATGTAATGTCATGTAATGTCATGTAATGTAATGTAATGTACTGTAATGTATGTATGTATGTATGTATCCTTGCACTTCCCCTTTGCTCCCCAGTATTTCCCGCAAAAAAAACACGGTTTTTCCAGCGTTTTCGCAAAGAGGACGTCCAAAAACATTGAGTTTTTCCAGATTTTCGGCAAAAGGATGCAGGAAGCCCAAGCCAGCAAAAAAGCCGGCAGGGGGAATCGAGCCTGGGACCCCTGTTTTGCGACACCGGCTCCCCGAAGACTACGTTTAGTGGAACGTCATCAAATTGCCGCGCGGTACGTGGGGGACCCCCCCCCCCCAAAAACCTACGTAATAGACGTCGGGCGGGGGGGGGTTAGGGGGGGGGTTATCCTCTATCCTCTAGTAAGTATCCGACACGCCGAGCAATGTCGGCGGATATATATATTTATTTAATTACCTTCACTCGGCTTCCTTTTAGTAATAATAATAATAATAAATCAGCCATCCTGTGTTGTTCATGTTTTGTGGTACTTGCAAGGGGTCGGCTCAGGTGTCCACAATTGCAAGCTCCAAGGGCTCTGAGATGCTCAAAAATATGAAACAAATATGAATATATCTTATGGCGTTCTAATAGAACTTCCGAAAATTGTCGTTCATATCTGACTTCACAATGACAATTCAATCTCAAAGCACCGAGGTAGCAGATGAGCAGGCATGGACAGTATATATATATATACATATAATATGTAGGCATGTGTACATACATAATTTGAGTTGGTTATCGCAAAGCTGTAAGATCTGAGGCGTCCAGGTGTTTGCGTGGCCATTTCTTTCGCCTCACCACGGGGGGTGGTCTTGGTCTGAGCTTGTGTCCGAAATGTACCATGTGGTGATTGTGCCCGGGGAAGCCCAACGGCAACCAGCTACGTTGTTGGAAACGCCCAAATGCAAAGCACGCGACAGCTCTGAGCTTCCCTTACCGGGAAGGTGTTGAAGGGGGAATCAGCGAGCCCTATGCAAGGATACGTGGTTCGTTTGGACATCCTTGGTTAATTGGATGGATTGGCCCCCCTAGAGACTGAAATGTTCGCACGAAGCAACGGGCTAAACAACCACTCATTGGGCGCTCCAAATGGCTTAAGGTACATGTTACTCCGTTTTGTCACGCCCCGCAAACATGGCCTCTTGACCCACGGCTTCGGATGAAAGCTTGGCACACCAAGCGGGTAAAGATTCATTTCCCCTTTGCCGTTGTCCATGGTGCTCCTCTTGTAGGGGCGGAACAATCCACAACTAAGCGAAAATCCGTACTCCTCCCATCGGCTGCTGGTCCCAGGAAAAAGCCTTGGGCATGCGGGTTGGAGACGTGAATCCAAGGGTTTAAAGCGACGCTCGTGGTGGCCAAGATTGTTACCATTTTCATCCTGGGTTGTAGACGGAGACATTGTTTATGGTGTTGATTCATGTCACCACGCAAGACATCCTTGATGAGTGAAAGCCCCATTTCTCGAATGAAGGTCATGCGCCTATGGCAAGGCGTAATCTGCGCTTCGGGTCAACTGACTTCATTCAGGTTCGAAAGGTAGTGATCTTGCGAAAGAAATCACATTATTCAATGTTTTCGGGGATTTCTCGGATCAGTCTTGATTCCGACAGGATTCTCCTCATAGTTCGCCAGGGTTGCCAAGTTTGGCTTCTTGGAGATATGTTCGCCTCGCAAATGATCTGAATGGGTGTGTGCTTCTATCGAGGCTCGGTACCCTTTTGCAGGTTGGTTTAAAGGAAAACCAAAAGAACCACTACCACGATGGGGTCCCCCTATCTTGACACAGACACAAACACGGCTAAACTTTGACGTATTAAAGTTTCATATAGACACTTGCATACATCAATCTGACAAACAAAAAAAACAACATGCAGAATCAGCATGCGCAAGCCAATGAAGGTGGTCTTCTTGGTCCGCTTGGCCGGCCAACCACCCAGCTATGAAGTTCAACAGGGAACCATTGTTTTCAAGGTGGTTGGTGGATAATCCCATGCTGTCCCAAAACACATCACACCCCCATCGGCCAAGAAGCCCTGGCATTAGCTCGCAGGTTGAGCTCTATGCGCCAAACCTCGCAGCGCCTGAAGAATCAGCTGCAGGACCCGCGCAGAAAGTTATCTTGTCTTGAACATCCTCTTGTCATGTGAACGATTTCATTGAAATAGTCTATCTGTTGGAGAGGTACTCCCCTGAAGAATATAACGTGAAAGCCACACAGGCGGCCCTTCACAAGCAGATTCTTCTGAAACGCAGGCCTTCTGGCTTCCCTGTTACTCTGCAAGAGAGCATTGGGCGTATGCAGGGCCCCTGTTCGTACAAGTTCCCATTATTTCCCTCAGTAAGAGACACATGCCGTGGATGGGCAGTATTCATGATGCTTCATTGTTCCCAACTGGTGCGAAGTTTTTTTTGTTCATTAGTACTGAGGAAGCTAATTGGCCCACCTGGCAAATGCATTGGAACGCGAGACCCTTGTTTGCTCCTTTCAGCATTTGCTCAAGGAGGGTCCCTTAGAGCATACACCAAAAGATCTCATGGTACGTGTGGAAAACCTTTGAAACAGCTCCTGTAGAGTTATTCTTTTTGGTTTGGCCGAAATTGTATCCGTGGGAGAAAACAAGTTGGTACCCTTATTTTAAGCTCTCTACTGGAGGACCTAGCTTTAAGAGCCCCCTTATCAAACCGGAAAGGCCAACTCGTGCGTTTGCGTGTCCGGTGCCCCGGCTGCCTCTCAGGCGGAGAAGGAGACGGCGGAGGAGTCCGAGGAGACGAGATTTTTCGGGCTGGAGGTCCCATAGAAAATGGTACGCTTAAATCATTTGAATGCGGTCAGTTGAGCATACCCGATGTGTACAATGATTGAGCTATATATATAAGACTTAGGGCCTAGGGTTTGTCCAAGGAGAAGTTCTGGGTTCTATTTGAACCTGCGAAATCAATGAGCGGAACCCATTTCTTAGTTGTCTCACTTCCCAAGTTTTGGAGCTTCATCCCATTGAATCAGCGGCACTCCAACCCCTTTTTTTTGATGTTAACGCATAGGCTGACACCCAGATTCTGAAGGGTCTCGGTCTACTCTTTGCGAATTGAGATGTTGACTCGCCGGCAAAGTGACATGGAGCCCTAAGAAAGACGGACACTCCTTGCAATTCCCTCGTAGGCATGCTTGGTGTGTTTGGGAGGTGACCCAGTTCAGTCCTGTCACTCCATCCAGTGAGTGTCCAATACCAATCCAAGGACCAAGCCCTGCTTCATCCTATGGACATGCATTTCGCTGGTTGCAGCTCATTTCGGCGCCCAAAGTCCTGGCTCTTCAGGGAAGTTATAAAGGTAGTTGTTCACAGGATCCACTCCCCCCCCTTATCCCCTCTCCCTGGTTTCCTCCAGAAATGATCTTAGTAAGGCCTTGTTCGGGTCTTTTTTGTTGGGGAAAGGGGGAGGGAGGGATTAGGGAGGGTTGGCTCCTTCAACCCTTGATGGAGGTCCATCATCTTGGTTGGAGGCCACAATGCTTTGCCACAACCCACTTCCACACCACTTTTGGACGACTAGGTTCTGTCATTTCATTTGTTGGATGGTAGATGTTTTGATAAGTCGGTGTACGGATCTGACTCGGTTCAATTGGGTCCCTTCAACAGCAATACCAGCAAGACAAGGCGGGAGTTCTTTTCCGGTCACTGGACAGCTAGGAGTCAGCCCGGCATCGTTTGACTTTGGAGCACTCACTAGCTGAGCGCGGATGCCCGGACGGGATGAGCACCGGTGCTCCGTGAAGGCAACGCTGCAAAATATTCGGGAATTTGCTTTCCTTTTTGGGGTGGCTTTGAAGGGAACCAAAAGGAAAACCACCAGTTTTGGGGTCCCCCTATTTGACACATATCCACATGACATGTGAACGCTGCCTAAAGGAGACCGCAAGGCAACGCATTGTCAGTTTTCCGGACCCCCTACCATTCAGCCGTTTGAAGCAGGCTTGCAGTACTCAGATTGGTTGGAACTCATATTTAGGATGTCGAAAGATCACACGTGCGTTGTTTTGCTGGGAAGCCAAATTAGACTACTTCTGACACACGGATAGTTTTTCACCGGCATGGAGTTCAAACAGGTAGGAACGCCCGTTTCTGTTTGGGATGGTTTCAGCGGATGTATCAGCCGTAGCTCCATTCCGCTTTGGACCGAGATGCGGCGGCGGTCAAAAGCGGAGAGCTCTCATACATCATGTCCGTATCCATGGTACAGCTGAGCTGGACACGACCCGTACTGCGTGCGTCCTTGAGTACAACGACAACTTGAGATGCAAGCCAATTGACAAATGCTTTGGATGCAGGGTTCGGCGACTAAATTCCAGAGAAATGTTGGGACTTGGGGCAGGATGGCGAGTTCCAGCTACAAGCTGAGTCCTGGAACTGTAAACAAGCGTGGCCTCGCGCTGGCAGTTCGCGGCTTTACGTCAGCCTTTGCCAGGACTGTTGCCGTTCAGCTTCTGATTTGATTGCCCTCTTGTGCATTGGCAAGCAGCACAGACACTGCGAGCGGCCCTGCTGCGCTGAGAAATCGAACTGTTCTATTCAAAGCGGTGACACTGCTTTTGGCAGCCCCAACTAAAAAACTGGTTGAGCCAAATTAAGCGATGTGATGAAACACCTTAGGCAAAACAATGGTGGTTCTATCAACCTCAGGTTGGAATCCTAGGAATTATTTTGCCTCAACTGTAATCATACCACACAACTTGCTCTTTTGTGCCCCATTGCACTCTCGGCGGGCGTCCTTCAAAGTTCAAAGCAAAACCAGAAGCTAACGCCGATATTCAGAGCATTACTTTCTGAAAGCCTGTCCTATCCCTTATGTGCGGGCCTGATCCCTAAACAGGCAGTAGCTTTTGATCTACCCAAAAGGAAACCAAAAGGGGGGATGTCTGTTTTTGCCAGACCCATTTAGCTGTAGCACCAGGAAACCAAACCAAGGAATCTCTTGACGGGGCTGCAAGTCGCGCACAGAGAGGAGCACAATGGTTTCGAGCCAAGTTGTTTGTGGGATATGAGCATAGATTAACATAGTATACATACGATGAACATGATAACGATCTTATATTAATAAGGCAAGTAAAGCAACACATGACAAGTATCTGTATGCACATGCGCGCGCGTTAGAGGCTTAGTGGCTACCCTTTTTATATATATCCTTGCACCTGGCCTGCATTTGTCTACGGTGGTTATAAATCGGCTCTATCCACATTCTGACTCGAGGAGCCTGTTGGACCTCACGTATTCACGGGCCGGCCTGAATGCAAATCCAAATTGGCAAGTTGATGTTTTTGGAAGAAACCTTTTCCACTGATGACTAAATCTTGACCCATCTTTTCAACCCTCTGTTGAATCAGGGGCTCAGCGGCGTATTCTATCTAGAATCTGGAGGATGAATTTGGAGGGAAGTACCCCACATTCACGCACAAGGTTTCTCAATTTGGGATCACCATTTACAGTACGCTATGCCGCTTTGGTGTGTTAGGTAACCTTCAAAGTCAGGGGGCATCCGGTACTAGTACCGAATCAACACGTTGGGTGAAAGTGGCAGATGCCCTGCATGTTGCTCTAGTCGTCCCCGTTACCCGCGTACGAGGCTTTGTCCATATCTGCCACCGACGCTTTCAGGCTCCGCTCTCAGCTTGAAGGCCGCGAGGCGCGGGTCGACAGCCGCGAGTTTGATTGAGGCCACGCCAATCCAGGCCACAAAGACGCACACATGCAAGCTCATGTCCTGGCCCAAATGCACAGCCATATTGCAACAGCCATAAACTGCATGCCAGGATTTGTGCCAACCCTATCACTTTGGGTCCATTTTAACGCCATTTTGAGGTTGACTTGCCTGGCATGTGCATTTAAGCTGAATTCCTACCCCTGTAGGCATTGCAAACAAGTTCTTTGACTCGAGCATAGTTCCATCCAAACAGTCGCCGCTTTGCTCAGGGGAACTATCATTCCAGCCAGCAGAAGCTGTTAGATTCGATTTGTTCTTGTTGATGAGCGTAGCTGATGTGCTTTGCTGTCCAACATCGCGATATCTTTGGTTTGCTTGTGGGACTCGTCGCCTGTCTCTGTTCCTTCATCGCGCTATGGACAAGCAAGATGCTCGACCACAAACACAGCGTTGGCCAAGGGTCAACAATTGCATGCCAACTCTCAAAGTGTGTGTGTGTGTGTGTGTGCTTGTCAGTTTGCGTTGTTTGTGAGCTTGCTGATTTGGTATTGTGTTTCTTTCTGTCTCGTTAGTGGCTTGCTGCGATGCCTTGCCTCCAAGGAATTTGGCTCCGGAGATTTGCGTGTCATTCCTCGCGTTTGATTGAGCCCAAGAGAGAAGGTGGACGTGGGTCGCTCGAGGATGATAACGCCCCAAGGCGGTGTGACAGATTGTTTTCTTGGTACTGGTAAACACAATGCCATGGGAAACAGTTTGCATCTTAACATGAATCCAAAACTTAGAGCAGTTTGCGTGCAAGATTTCTCAATTGCAAAGCGCACAAATAGTCAACTCACAGCTTTAGTGGACGTTCGAGGCCAAAGCAGGATTTAAAGGCTTTGTGAACTCAAGACCCTAGGACCGTTGGCCAGCCAGCTCAGGACATTGCGGTTTTCAAGCCGGACAGCTGCAGTTGTTTGAAACGTGGAGAAGCGATTCGTTGCGTTAGTTGGAGGCTTGGACCGACGTACAGGTCATGCTGACATGTGAAACGAGCTCGCTAGGCGGCCGAGTCGGAGTTCCAAGAAGCCTTGCGCTCGCAGAGCGATGCGGCACATGAGGAGCGCGAGGCACAGCGGCAGATGCAAGAGCGATTTATCCTTGTGGCTTAACACTATACCCACCTGGCGTCAACCTTGAAGTTACCCAGAGAACCCTTAGTGGTTGCCCGGAAAACCCTTAGTGGGTTTAAACATATCGGGGCCCGGGGTTTTAGTTGAGTTCTCCTTAGGTTGATGTTTAAAGCTGACGTGTGAACCCCAAGTTTCCTGAAGCCAGGAGACCGGGCTCTGAATGCCTTCCTCAGTTTCCTGAGACTGGCGTATGTGTTACCAGCCATTTGGGTTTCTTGTTTTGGGAGGGGACAGGGGTTTGTTGAAGCCGAAATGAAAGGCGAAGCTTTCAACATGCCACGGACCTTGAAGTGAGCTTCACCTGGCCATGTTTATGTTCGGGTTTGCACGCAGCCGTCGGAAACAGCTGAGCATTGTTGCGTACAAGCCTTTGCTTGTTAAGGGCATGCCCTGGTATAGTACGTTGTTCTTGGGGGTTCCATTTTGCAACCTTGCAAAAAGGGGCCCCTGCTTTAGGAAGTACCCGATCGGAAACCGTCCATTTCCGCCTTCACAAGCGCACATTTGTTTTTGCGCAAAACACATTGGGCTAATAAGAAACAAGTCGGTTTTGTTGCGTTTTCCTTAAGAACAACAAACAAAACAACATAACAAACAGCGTGTTCTTTTCCAACAACCCATGCCCTAAGGAAGTCTTGTCAACTGTTCGCCGGTTCGATCCAATTTCGGACAGGTCTTGCTGAAGGAGTTGTCGGACCTCACGGACGACGCCTCCCAGGCCTGCATGTGCAGGGGGCTGGAGTCGCCTCAGAAGAAGTTGTAAGGTTGCTAAATACATGGGTAGTTATTTTTTTTGGGACCCCCCCATTTTTTGTGGTGTTCCTTTTGGTTTCCCTTGAAAAGCGCCCAAGAATGGATACCCCCCCCATTATGAACAAATATTTGAACATGTTGTTTAGAGTCTAGCCTATGGGCCAAGCTTTCATTTTGAAATGATGGACGTGGGAACTTAGGGATTTGAGTTTTTCAAGAGGACATCTAAGGATCCGTTGACCTTTTTGTTTTTGTCTTTTTTTAATTGGATGGGCTCTCCCTTCGAGATCATACCTTGGGCTTCAGAGAGAGAAACTAGAGAACCACACAAACCACTACAACTTGAGGGGGTCCCTGTAGTTTTCAAGTGGGTCAAGTTCAAGTGATGTCAACAGATACTCACATCAAAAATTATGAAGCATTTGGACTAGCTCAGATGTGTGCTGAGAAGATGACCGTTCAAGCATGCGGTTCTTTCTGAGTTCTCAGCGACGTTCGAGTGCTTCTTGAGATCACGAAAGCTATGCTGCCTTCAAACCGCTTGATAGGAAAACAACAAATGCAGGGTGTAGCGACGTATCCTCTTTTGGGCATCTTTGTACCATAACATTTCACGGGGCAGGGGTGTATGATGTTTCACTGGGCAAATTTGATTGTTTCTTCATTGTGTTGGCAGTATGAGAGTTCTAGCTAAGGGTGTCTTGCCCTTTCCTCGTTGGGAGCAAATGTCACCCTCCAATTCAATTGGGCAGCGCCGAAAACCCTCATTGGCCATTTTACTGGGCAGTTCAACTACCTGGTTTCATCGGGGGCTACAGTATGGGCTAGCACAAGTTTATGGGTTTTGGGCGCTGCTTATAGGCGCGGGTTTGAGTCTATATACTGTTGCTTTGGCCTGTTTCTTTCCAGCGCAGGTGAGGCGGCAGTGCTTTGAGCTGACAAGAAGAGATGAGGCTGGGGTCATGTGACGTACTTTGAAACAAGCAATGATTGCTGCTGCGGCAGGACGTGCGTTGGAACAACGTGTAAACATTGGGATAATTTGTCATCCCCCCGTCGTTTTATTGACGTTTGAGCCGAGGGTCCTCCACAGCTTTTGGTCGTTAGAGAACTCATTGAGCCAATGCAAATTACCCACCAGTGCCCTTGTGCTCCCTATTTGGGAATGGGGATGGACCGATTTCGATCTTTTTCCTTTTGCTTGGACCACATTCTGGAGATGCGTGTTTCTCAAAATGCTGGAGCAGTTTTCTGGTTGGCATGAGAGAAGCCAACCGCCTGGTGGTTCTGTTGGCACTGGCCCAAACCACAAATGAGAGGGAAGCCACCCAAATGGATATGTGTCAAAGCTGGGATTTGGCACCAACCAAACAAATGAGTGGGTGTTCCTGTTGGTTTCCGTGAAGCCAACCAGCCAAGGATACCCAGTTTAAGAGAACTACCCACCATGGTTGGTTTGCCTGTCATAGCAACCACACAGTGGCCCATTGTTCCAGCTACGCCCAGATCAATTTTCCTTATATGCCTAGTTGCTTTGGACCAAGTTCTGTCCCTTTCAAGTCGAACAGTTGTGGGGATATATAGGCTTTGGTATGACAGAAAGTGTGATTTTCCACCATGGAGGCGCACATGACCTTCCTAGCCGCTAATCTCTCTTTTGAGAACATCAAAGGGACCTGCCATTTGAGCATGTGAATCCGGACCAACCAGGAACTCAGTTGTCCAAAGCTGACCTTCGGACCTTTGGGTTTCTCTATGGTCCGTGTTTAGTCACCCCAAAAAGGTGATCACTTTTTATGTCCAGGTCCTGGCAGGTGAGATAAACTTGCGTAGGCATTCCAACCTTCCCTCTCTTGCGCACCCTGCAACTCACCAGAAGGGGATGGGGAAGTTTGCAGGGGCTTACGGCTTTCCTTGGGATGTGCAGCTTCCAAGCCGGGAAAACAACACAAAAAAACCAACCTTCAGCTGGAGGGGCCCAAGCCTTCCGCTGGACCTCCGCGTCAACCCCTGAGGACCGGGAGGCGGTGCTGCGGCAGCTCCAGGAGCGGCAGCTGCAAAGTGCCAGGCGCTGGCGGCTGGCGGCTGGGGGCTGTGGGGCGGGGGGGCGGGGGTGGGTGGAAATGAACGGAAGGAAACCCCCGCAAACGGGGGGAAAGGGGAGGGGGAGAGGGGGGCAGGCGGGAGGTTGGTCTTTCCATGCCTCGGAAATCTCCAAGCTTGTGCTAGCTGCATTCTACCCATTTGTGGGTATGCTAGCTGATTAGTTCTTACTATATGTGTTTGTTCTTTTGAACCAACGGTTAGACCCATCACAACCTTCGCTTGGGCATTCCCAACAAGAGGGCAACACGGCATGCTTGCAGCCTTGGCCGTTTATGTGCATGTTCTTGCATACCTTGATATTTGCTTGTTTTGATGTACGTATGTGCCTCTCTCAAAACAGGGAAGTCGCTAAAATGGGTGCGTGTCCTGTTGGGTTCTATCCAAAACCATCCAAAAAGCCCCAAACAAATAAATAAATAAATAAAAATCCAATGTTATAAGTTATATATTATATATATATATATATTGGTATAGACACATGCTCTAGACTAGGCTGCAAGTACGAGCTCTGGCCTCGCTCGGTTCTCCTCAACCAGGGTTATTGTTCTTGGCTGGTCCGACTTAGACCAGACAAATCTTGCCATCAGAAGCTTTGGGTACTGTATACGTACATGAGAAAAATAGAGAGAGAGAGAGAGAGCGAGAGAGGGAGTTTCCTCTTCATGGCGCACCTTAAATTGCAAGGCAAATCGGAAAGGACATGGTTGACCTCCTCACCCCTTTGTCATCCTGTTTATTGCCTACGTGTGTGATAGCTTTGTCTTGCATCAGGTCTGAGAGTTGATGTTTTGGAACCCAAAGCTCCTTTCAAGGCGGCACAGAGGATGCCAACCAGAGCATCTAAGGTTCCACAAGGTTACGTTATGAGAGGGAGCCCAAAGAAAGCCACCCGGTTTCTTTGTTCCACCCAAGGGTGAGATAAACCATGGCACCAAGCTTCATGGCGCCTTCAGAACGTGCCTCGTGCCTCTTCCATGAGGCAGGTGGCGCAGGAGGAGCAGGTGGCTGGTTGGAGCCCCAGTCGTCGCCGGGTCACTGCTAGTTTTGGCCTAAAGCTTGCCTTGAACAGAACAAACGGGGGGTCAACATGCTGACCCCGGCTTGTAAGCACTTGAGTCATCTAATCAGGGGCCGGCTTCTAGAAAGAAGCCCAAAGTGAGGACGACCATGCGACTGATTCCGTAATTGCTGAACACTGTGGGTTGTCATGTATAGTATTTGTTGGGTCACAGGCAGTCTGTGAGTTGTTTGTTTCGGTTGGCGCAGTCTGTGCGCTTGAATTGGCCGAGCCAAGGCGGTTCCGAGTAGTTTGGCCGAGCCAAGCCGGATCCGAGTAGTTGAACCCTGCTTGTTGGACAGGATGTCGCAGAGAGTACTAGTGCAGCGTGCGTGTTGAACAACGCATAATTTATTCATGCTAGAGGAAAACAGAGGATGAGGTTGCAGGGCGGTTACGCCATTTAGCAAAAGTCAAGTTCAGATTTGGGAAAGCGACCCTCCAATAAACAAGCACATGCTTAGTTTGTTTGTTTCGAATAATCCGTGATTCTACATGTTTCCGAAAATTGGGGTGTCCTCGAATTGGGGAGCCCCTTGTGGATGGCGTTAAGAGGGAAACCGAAAAAATCGGAGAGACGCAAATCCACTATCCACTTGAAGGTGGCAGGCGATCCAACATGCTGCACGGGGTTGGGCCAACCCAAGTTTAGCGTCATGAAACCACGATTGGCCAAACATCCTCTTCTTGGTTTCGCTTTGTAGATCTGTTTGGGATGTACAAAGGTCTGGTTGTGCAATCCGGCCCCATGGCTCCGAACAGACTGGACCACACGGGTAGAAATAAATACGTTTAGCTGCTTTGGTTGCCCTTTATGCCACGAACGTTGGATCCACTCTCAGGGTCTGATTTGGGTGGAGAAACAAAATCTTACGGCTGATGTTCAGACGACGCAATACTTGATTGAGGGGTGCTTCACTTTTGGCCCGGCTCCAGCTCTTCTAAATGCTCAATAGCCCATTAACTTACCCAAATGGAGGCCAACAAGGGGATTGCCAATTTGTTTGTTTGTGTTTTTTTGCAGACCCTGTTTTGAGCACCCAGTTGATTCATAGGATGTAGCACCCACTTTGGCCCTTTGCCCGTGGATCTCAGTTGCAATCCTCCAGCTGAGCCGGCCCAGGCCAGCTGCGCCAGGAAGTCTGGGAGGCGCGAAACGAAAAGGGGGAAGCACCTTAATTGCCCCCCCCCCAAACCAAAAAAGAAACAAAAAACATCAGCTGGAGCCTCAAATTTGAACAAAGTCGTGCTCATTGCAGGTGTTTTGATTGATTGCTTTTGGGCGGAAATATCGTATGTATATATATATACACATGTTAATACATGTATATATGTATATATAATTATACATAGGAACATGCGCGGAAGTGCACCTTGTTTTGTTTTGGCATTGTTCAACCAGCCGCGGTGGCAAAGTGTGGCGAACACTGCTGCGACATCAGCAGAGTGGATGGGGAACTCTGCGGGAAATACTCGAAGTCTATATATATATATATATATATGCAAGAAACAAGCGGAAATCTACGGGCAACCCGGTTGAAATGGAAACCGAAAGAGCAACCATCAGTTTTCTTGGTGGCTCCCAGCCATCCCCTTAGCTTTTTAGCCTTTTAGTGTTTAGTGGTAGTTTCCATTTAACCCACTAAAAGTTCAACTTTCAGCGGGGGATCTGAGGGCAGCCATCAGTTTTGTGGGCCCGAATCCCTACCCTTGGTCGAGGCCCGCGAGAAGACGAGCGAGGCGCTTGGCCGGCACCAGGCACGGGAGTTCTGAAACCCGAGCATTGGCAGGAAGTCGAGGAACATCCCAATGTTGCCCCGTTTGACATATGGCTGTTGGTCAAAACCCTGTACCCCTGGTGAACATCAAAATAGGTGGCGAATGGATGTTCATCCACCCCACAATGGAGCCATAGGTTCTGCCCCATGGCCATATGCGCATGAACTTCAGGGTTGGAAGACCCCTGATTATCCTGATTAATTTGACGAAGGGGTCCTGATTAATTTGACGAAGGGGTCCTTTCTTTCAGGAAGATGCTCAATGGCTAATCGACGGATTTGTGCGATGCTCGCTACACAAATCGTGTCTACTGCAGATGTCGCAAATAAGTTTCGTGCTATGGCTGGGCCGTGGAGCAAGCCTGCTAGTTTTGAAACGTAAGCAGTAGCCCACAAAGCACAGATTTGAAAGTTTGTGTGGCTTCGTCTCAATGGGGAAGTAGCAAAGTGGAAACCAGCTCACGCAAAGGAAACAACACAGAAGATGGGCACACACGCACACTCGCAAGCATAGGCGCACTCGCCCGCCCGCCCTCACGCACCCCACCCCACCCCCCCCTGAAACCCACGCACCCACCCACACCCACACACACACACACACACACACATTCTCTCGCACGCTCGCACGCACGCAAGCACGCTCGCACTCACACACACACACACACACCCGTACGTTAGCACGCACGCACGCATGTGCGCGCGCACACTGACATGCAACTACTTTGCAAGTATATGCACAGAAAGTCAATCAATGGCATGCACACCAGCATGCACCCAACCGCGCACGCGCATACACACCCACACACCAACAGACACACAGGCCATTTGTCATCGCCAGGCGTTGTTGGAAGAGATTCGACATGAGCGAGAGGCAGGAGGGTTCTTAGAGCCGATAGGGGTTAGATTAGTAGCAATCTTGATCCAGCATTCGTCAAGCTGGATGAATTTGGGGGGGTTCCTCCAAGAGTGAAGGTCTGCTTCTAAAGTGGAGCATTATTTTATTAACCATGCCATATGATGAATAAGCTCCTGCGATTCAAAACTTGATACTGTGAAGGGGCCCACGAGGTTGTGCCTGAGGCCTAAACACTGTCCTCTGGGACCCCCCCAACATAAAATGAATGAACAAAACACACAGTCAAGTTCCACGAGCTATTGCCAAATATCGACTACAAAGTCTTTTCATAGTCTCAGGGCCGCTCCTACCAAAACTGCAAAGAAACTGCAAAGAAACTGCCAGCCGGAAACAGCATATTCGTTTTTTTCTTTCTTTTTTTACATTTTGTTCTACAATATTTGAAAGCTCCAAAATCTTTGTTCTGGACCTTGAGGGGGGCTTGCATAAACCAGACCAGAGGTGAACATTGTGAGGTTTCTGAGCTTTGGGAGCCGTGACCACAAATTACCTGAGGAGTTTCATCTTGGCTTATTTAAGTAGGTCTTTCAGCCCGGCTGACATGTGGTTCAGTGGTGCTGCGCCATTTGAGCAGGATATGGGATCATTTCCTGACGTGACGTGTGATCTTAACTCCAAAGGCTAGATCACATACATTTTTGATAGTGTAACTGTAAGGTCAATATTTGTTCGTTGCTGTGTTGGCATAGCTGGTTGCTATGTTGGCAGCTTCTTGGGTTGCTATTTTGGGAGACTGAACCTCACTTGTAAATTTATCATTCCCGGTTGTGAATTATGGATATTTGCCCATAGCTTGGCGGGGTTGCGCTCAAGCTCCTTGATTTGTCCCCACGAGCGTTTGGAGCCTTCAACCCCCCCCCCTCATCCAAAGCTTAGAGCCCCTGAGAGGTGAATGTGGCCGTTTCGCTATGCAGGGATAGACATTTTGCTATACTTGTCCCATTCTGCTCAGGGATCCTTCCTTCTGAAACAACCCACAAAAAAATGGCTGAGGAGAATGGTGAGTCAACCAAGAGAAGACGGCAGATAAAATATGTTCCTGTTAGCAGCCAATACTGTATATGATGTGACCCCAAAAAGATGGTCCGCCAGACCCCAAGACCACGGGTTTCCTTTGCACCCAGGGCATGGGCGAGAGCTAGGGATATGTTCTTCGTCCACGTCAGCACTCGCGCCAGACAGGAGACGCATGAATGCCTTAGTCATAGAAACCAGGCAACAGGAAATTCTATTCGGAAAAGAGCCAAACACCATCAACTACCCCAAAAAACGATTTTGCCTAGCACTTGGTTGCTGGTTTCTTTGACTTTGGAATATTGCTCTGTAGCAATTGTTTCTTGTGCGGGGAGTCCAAGTTGCTTTCCTTTGCTTTGATGGACACACATATTTAGGGTCTTGCGAGCTTTGTTTGAACTCACGTGTGTGCAGGGTAACAAAAACTTGCACAGGGACACACAGGATATCATGTCGCGGCTCGTTGTGCCACAGGCAATCTAGAATACAATCGAAGCAATCAGGACTGGTTGATACCAAACACCAATGTGCTTCTCAAACCATTGACGACCAATTGGCATACCTGGAACTACTTTAAACCAACCATCGACCCCTGATATTGAGCACCAGACAGGCGAAGCACTTTGAACAGAACACCCAATCGCTCGCAGGCGGCTGCGGGACAGCTTCAAGAGCTTAGGCAAGAGGCCGGGAAAGGGTCGAAATGGATGTGGCGTTTTGCCAAGGACGGCTTTTTTGGGGCTTCACTTTGAATCAAAGACAGAAGAAGAGATGAACTTTCAAAGGTCCCTGTTTTTAAGATCCCAGACAATGATGCACAGCTTGGAACTTGGCGAATTGCGCATCGATTGGGTGAAAGGCAGCACGATTCCCCCTATGGGTTAGTCATGCCGTTTACTTACCCACATAGATGGACATCTACTTTGACTCAGATGCAAATGAACGTGTCATGTTTATTGTCCTACTTGCAGGAACTCACACACACACACACATGATACAAGCATTTGACAAACAATGGGACTTCCTATGCATTTGTTGGACTAATTTTGACTGTGGCTTACCAACTTCTTGGTCAGGCCAGTGCTGCGGATACCTATATATCATAAGATACCTGTATACATCATGTTTTCACACCCTCCTTTGTGAAAGCACAACACCTCGCTGATGCCCCTGGGACCCTGATCAGCAAGGAGAACGGTACTTGCGAGCCCACCAGCGCCCCTCCACCTCGCTGATGCCAAGCGGCTCGCCTGAGTCGAGCCAGAAAAGCTCACCAGAAGGGCCGTGCTCGTCCACACGGCCGCCTTCAGAAAGACTTGGAGCCTTTTAGGTCTTGGAGATGCCTCCCGCACGGAGTGAGAAGAGTTTCGCACGTGCTGTCTGCACGTCCGGCAACTGGGGGCCTTGGGGAGAGACTCTGGGTACGTAGGAAGCGCATTGTTTCATGCGTGGACCCTGCCTGATTTTTTTTTTTTTTAAGTACAGTGAAGCGCAACTTTCTGAGAGCTTCTGTGGTTGGGCAAGCCTTCTGAGACCTGCCGGTTCCCAGTTCAGTGGCAAACAATCTACCTTGAGTTTGTGAGTTCCCCCACCAAAGATGGTCAACAAAGATTTCCTCTCATGTTTCCAGACATGTCTCACGGGACATCAGTGCAGTCCTTGAAGTGTTTGCGTTGAGCATTGGGCCGGTCATACGGTCATGGCATCACACCAATCCTTCAGGCTGGACTTCAGTTTGGCGGTTTGGGGCGGATTTCTTTGGACTGCGGTGGTACTTCATAGGGTTTCTTTGCATTCAACTTTGAACATCAGGGAACCATTCTGCGGTCTTGGCATTAGAGGACCTCATTGGCGGTGCTTCTTCAATGTTGTTGTAACATGTTGGGATTATTTCTATGCACAGGGCAGGTACCGCAGGCAGCAGCAGGTACCGCAGGTAGCGGTAGAGGGTGGACCATTGATCCTGCACGGAGCTTGGTAAAACGAGCTATGACGTTCCTGAAAGGGGGCTCCTTATTCCCAGTTTGTGAATGGTAACTTGCCCAGAGTAGACTATCCTCCGTCTAGCATGCCTCGGTACATGTCATCGTGCCGAGGCCTGCATGAAGCAGCGGACACTGCAAGAGCTTTTGGGTGAAGGTGCGGCGGGTTCGGGATTTGGAAGGCGAATCGGGCGAGTATGCATGACAAGACGTTGCGTGTTCACCGCAGTGGACATGGCTAGTCATTACCAGAATCTCGATTGGTTCAGAGAAGCGCCTGAGCGTAGTTGTTCTCAAGCGATGCTGGAGTCGCCAGGATATCGAAGACACCACAAGCAAGAGAAGCGCAAGCTGTTGGTGCTACTTGTTTTTGGTTAGTCTGTGTCCCGTTGATTCAAGCAATCACACAGCGCTCACATGGCAGTTCATCAAAAGGTCCGACCCACTTGTAGTGCAGAGGACAAAACCATGGTGGGATTTTTAGGCCGCGAGAGATCCGCGATGGAGTTTGCCCAAGATATGTTGTTGTGCGTTGCTTCTTTTGTGGTTTAGTTTTGGGTTTTGTTGTTCCTGGAAAGACCCAGCGACAGACTTTCGTGGACATCCGCGACTTGCTCTGCTCACATGGGCGCCCACTCTTTTTTGTTGTTCGCAAATAGCAGGCAGGTAAGGGGCTGCTGGAAGCAATTGTTGATCAGAGCTCAACCTCACCACTGCGGGGGCCGAAATGTGCGGCAACACGATGGCACACAGCCAAGGTGTGCCCTCAAGTGGTGCACTTGTACTTAAGTCGTGATTGTCCGAGCTGGAGCTGCCAAAGTGTACTCTTGGGCATCACAGTTAGCAGCCAATACTTGGGCTGAAAAGCAGTGATTTTGAGCTGTTGCTGCCAAAGTGTACTTTGTAGTACTGCACGCGTACTGAAGCATAATGTGTTTAATGCAGCTGGAGCGGCCAACGTGCACGCTTACAATGAACTTGGCACTGTTTGAGCCCGCAGCTAGAGTTGCAGGTTGGTGGGGCCCCGAACCAGCGAGACTTGTTTTTGCAGATATGGCACTTGAAAGAACCATTGATCAGCTAGCTGCATCTTGAAATGACGATACGAATGCCTGAGAGTGTTGCAGACACCCACGTGCGGTGGATGCTACACCGAGTCCCGGACACACATCCTGAGATACTGGGTCCCTGCCGCCGGCCACTTTCGGACATTGGAGAACAGCATTGCTTGTGGTGCAGTGGGAGCTTCATGAAAGCCATTTGGTGTATGGATTGAGTGGGTCACGCATGAGAAGTGTGGATTATGATTGCCAGAAATATGCAAAGTCAGTGATCCGAATCCATGTCAATATGAGTATTGCAGCCATGGTTCATCACCCGTAATGGGCCTTTGGCAATAACTTGAGTCTAGAGAGACAGTCCTTCATGCCGCACATGTTGTCGGTACCCTGGTTGCGGTAGGCACCGTCCCCAATGCGAGTAGTTAAGACCCTTTTCATCAGCCCAGTGATTGGCGGAATGACTTGAAAACACGGGTTGCGCTGAGGTTGCATTGACAAAAGCTCGTGCTCGGGGCACTCAAATTGTGTTGTTTTGCTGGGCTTCTTTTCTCAAACCTGCCAGCCCTGGAATTACTTGCTTGCGGCTTCGTTTTGTAGAGTAGGCGGAATGGTCACAACGACTTTGCCCTGGCAAACGCAGGGCGAAGCAACCCGAAGATATACCGAAGGTAAAACATTTGCCAAGGTCGAATTCAGGGGGAGGGAAAAGATTTGAGGTGGAAAGGGGGAGGGGGGCAATTTAACGAAGGGATTAATCGTCGCTAGCTTCAGAATGCCAACGTATTCTCGGAAATTCAATCGGATGCTTGGAGATGATCACGGGCGCATTTCTTTGGTGTTTATGAATGATGCAGTGGCATGTCACTCCTGCATTGGTTGCTGCAGCAGCATGTATGATATATATATAGGATAGCGAAAGGACTGTGGTATCATGCCGAAGTCCTGAAGATCCACTGTAAGGCTGGCTTGTCCCTTCAAATACTCCACGCTTCGAGCGGTCTCTGCAGGCGTCCTGGACATCAATGAGGCCCTCGGTGGGTGACCTTGTGGGTAAATTTGGTGTGATGTCAGCCATCTCTTGGATGCATTCAATGAAGGGAGGAAGTTCTTGCTACTTGAAGACCGCAAAAAGCAGCAGGAACTAAACAAAACCAGTCACAGGGCTTGTCGCGTTGAAATTCGGGGCTCGAGGTGGCGGTAAACCCAAAACCAGGATTTCCTGGTCTGTAGTGGTTCGAAGGCCCGGCACCATGACTTTCCTTTCTAGCATGGTCGGGAGAGCCGGGTTGTAGGGCCACTTTCAGACAAAGGCATTTTTCTGAAGACATAGTCGGAATGTGGGCCTGGGCATGGGAACCCCACTTTTGGACATGACGAAAATCAACTAGAGAACCAGCTCTAGAGATCCGGGAGACGAATAGCAAGAACTTTGGAATTGAAGACACTTGTGGAAGATGAAATGACTAGCCAACAAGGGCGATGAGTATATTCCTATGTATTCCCTTATCCGATATCCCATTTGTGCCCCTGCCAGTGCTTGTGCTTTCCCAATGAAGTCTGGCCTTTTGGAAGCTTGGTGCTGGAATCTTTTAAGCACACTACAAATTGATGTGCCACTTGTGCAGGTGTAGGAAGGTGAGCAATCCAGCTTGCAGTCGTTTTGCTCAGCCAAGCATACGGATGTTTGGCCCGAGTAGTCTTCATTTTGTAGAGTTGCCCCACAACTTAAGATGAGGCCACAAGGGAAGACCATTTTAATTGATTCGGAACCCCAAGTTTCCGTGAGGCCAAGTTTGGTTTTTTCTTTGTCCCTTTCCTGGCCAAGTTTCTGCGAAAGCGGACGCTTGGGGTGTACAGGAAAAAGGCGGAAAAGGCAGTCAAGCTGGAGGGTTCATTTCGTCCCAATTGGTTCCATGTTTTAGTTGGCGCAACACCTCAGTTTCCTCACCAAAACACTCCAAGCACCTTGCCCACAGCCTCGGTGCCATGGGAACTTTGGTTTGCAATCCCCCTTGGTGGAGAGCACCTAGATCTTCAAACAGTAGTTGAAGCATGTTTCGACCGGCAGTTGGCCGTTTTATCGCGCCTTCGCAGGTTCAGAAAATGGCTTCTGGTGAAGGCACGAGGGACTCTCATTTGCTGAGGTAAGCAACGGCATAGTTTATGCGCGCAGAGGAAAAGGGAATGGATTCGTGACCTGCCTCCCACAAACACGGAACCTCACAGAGGCTTATGGAGAGCCATTTGCCTTTAATTGTACTCGCTGTCACGCAGCAGGTTTGTTTGTTGGAGGGTGTAAAGGATGTCCTGAGCAAAACCTGTGAAGCACGTATTCGGTGGGTGACAACTTTGCGCAATGAGGCTACTGTGACACTGTGTTGATGTGATGCATTGGATCCTTGCGGCAGAGCAGTAATTACGACAGGCTGCAAGTGCCCGTCTGTCGTCCTCGTCCTGCCTTTCGGCAGCTAGCATTGGGTATTGACCCAGGTTTACAGTTGTTCTTTCTTTTGGATATATTAAAGGACCCTCGACAAGTTATCCCATTATTCCTTCCTCATGCTGTTGTCAAATGGCAAATTCTTCAGTTGCTGGGGTGCAGGCAAGTTCGGGCTGGGGCAAAGTTGGACAGCTGCTAATAAAAAGGATCCAACAGAATCCAAGCTTGACATACATTTGTTGCCAAGTAAGCGACCCCCGATTCGCTTGAACACTAGGCTATGAGGCTGCAGGGTCCCAGTAGAAATGACACCTCCTACATCACAGTACTGTCTAGCATGTTCAGGCTTTGCAGCCTGGAGTGAGTTTTGTTTGCACGCCGAGTGACTTTACTTGAGAGGGCCACCAACACGGCAACCGCCGCCGCCAGCACCAGCACCAGCACCACCACCAACACCACCGCCGCAGCCGCCGCCGGAACCTCCGCCACCACCACCAAAAAGAAACACGTGTGTGGGTGCGTGCGTGCGTGCGTGCGCGCGCGCGCGATCGGGCGTGCGTGCGTGCGTGCGTGCGTGCGTGCGTGCGTGCGTGGGTGGGTGGGTGGGTGGGTGGGTGTGTGTGGGTGTATGTGTGTCTGTGTGTCCGTGTGTCCGTGTGTCCCTGTGTGTCCCTGTGTGTCTCTGTGTGTCTCTGTGTGTCTTTGTGTGGCTCTGTGTGTCTCTGTGTGTCTCTGTGTGTCTCTGTGTGTCTCTGTGTGTCTCTGTGTGTCTCTGTGTGTCTCTGTGTGTCTCTGTGTGTCTCTGTGTGTCTCTGTGTGTCTCTGTGTGTCTCTGTGTGTCACTGTGTGTCTCTGTGTTTCTCTGTGTGTCTTTGCGTGTCTTTGTGTATCTCTTTGTGTCTCTGTGTGTCTGTGTTTCTCTGTGTCCGCGCGTCCGCGCGTCCGTGCGTCCGCGCCTCCGAGCGTGCGTCCGTGCGTGCGTGCGTGGGTGCGTGGGCGCGCGGGTGCGTGGGTGCGCGGGTGCGTGGGTGCGTGGGTGCGTGCGGGTGGGCGGGCGGGCGTGCGGGCGGGCGGTGTGTGTGTGTGAGAGTGTGTGTCTGTGTGTCGTGTGTTTGCGTGTCTGTGTGGCTGTGTGTCTGTTTGTGTGTGTGGGGTGTGTGTGTGTGTGTGCGTGTGTGTGCGCTTGTGTGTGTGTGTGTCTGTGTCTGTGTCTGTGTCTGTGTCTGTGTGTGTGTCTGTGTCTGTGTCTGTGTCTGTCTGTGTGCGGGTGTATGTGTGTGTGTGTGTGGGAGGGTGCGTGTGTGCATGCGTGCGTGCGTACGTGCGTGCCTGTGTGCGTGCGTGGGTCTGTGTGTGTGTTTGTGGAGGTGGGGGTGTGGGTCTGTGGGTGTGTGTGGGTGGGTGGGTGGGTGGGTGGGTGGGGTGGGGTGGGGTGGGGTGGGGTGGGGCGGGGCGGGGCGGGGCGGGGCGGGGCGGGGTGGGGTGGGGTGGGGTGGGGTGGGGTGGGGTGGGGTGGGGTGGGGTGGGGTGGGGTGGGGTGGGGTGGGGTGGGGTGGGGTGGGGTGGGGGGGTGCGTGTGTGCGCGTTTGCGTTCGTATGCATGCGCATGCGTGGTTGTGTATGCCTGCATACCTGCATGCCTGCGTGCGTGTGTGCGTGCGTTTGGGTGGATGTGTCCGTGTGTGTGTGTGTGTCTGTGTCTGTGTCTGTGTCTGTGTGTGCGCGTGTGCGTGTGCGTGTGCGTGTGCGTGTGCGTGTGGCTGTGGGTGTGGGTGAGTGCGTGCGTGCCTGCGTGCGCGTGCGTGTGCGTGTGCGTGTGCGTGCGTGCGTGCGTGCGTGCGTGCGTGCGTGTGTGTGTGTGTGTGGGTGTGTGTGTGTGTCTGTGTCTGTGAGTGTGTGTGTGTGCGTGTGCTTGTGCCTGTGTGTGTGCGTGTGCGTGTGCGTGTGCGTGTGCGGGTGTGCGTGTGCGGGTGTGTGTGTGTGTGTTGGTGCGTGCGTGTGGGTGTGTGTGTGTCTGTGTGTCTGTGTGTGTGTGTGTGTGTGTGTGTGTGTGTGTGTGTGTCTGTGTGTGTCTGTGTGTGTCTGTGTGTGTCTGTGTGTGTCTGTGTGTGTCTGTGTGCGTGTGCGCGTGTGCGTGCGCGTGTGTGCGTGTGCGTGTGCGTGTGCGTGTGCGTGTGCGTGTGCGTGTGCGTGTGCGTGTGCGTGTGCGTGTGCGTGTGCGTGTGCGTGTGCGTGTGCGTGTGCGTGTGCGTGTGCGTGTGCGTGTGCGTGTGCGTGTGCGTGTGCGTGTGCGTGTGCGTGTGCGTGTGCGTGTGCGTGTGCGTGTGCGTGTGCGTGTGTGTGTGTGTGTGTGTGTGTGTGTGTGTGTGTGTGTGTGTGTGTGTGTGTGTGTGTGTGTGTGTGTGTGTGTGTGTGTGTGTGTGTGTGTGTGTGTGTGTGTGTGTGTGTGTGTGTGTGTGTGTGTGTGTGTGTGTGTGTGTGTGTGTGTGTGTGTGTGTGTGTGTGTGTGTGCGTGTGGGTGTGTGTGTGTGTGCTTGTGTGTGTGGGTGCGTGCGTGCGTGCGTTCGTGCGTGCGTGCGTGCGTGGGTGGGTGTGTGTGTGTGTGTGTGTGTGTGTGTGTGTGTGTCTGTGTCTGTGTCTGTGTGTGTGTGTTTGTTTGTGTGTGTGTGTGTGCGTGTGGGTGTGTGTGTGTGTTTGTGTGTGTGGGTGCGTGCGTGCGTGCGGGCGTGCGGGCGTGCGTGCGTGCGTGCGTGGGTGGGTGGGTGGGTGTGTGTGTGTGTGTGCGTTTGTTTGTGTGTGTGTGTGTGTGTGTGCGTGTGTGCGTCCGTGCGTGCGTGCGCGCTTGCGTGCTTGCGTGTGTGGGTCTGTGTGTGTGCGTGTTTGTGTGGGTGGGGGTGGGTGCATGTGTGTATTGATTTTGCTCTCTGGGAAAAGGTCGACTGCGCCAAACAAAGCCAGGACTTTTATCCTGAGGGTACTTCTCACCATTGGAACGACAACCAGTTACCTTTCACCACCTGTCAGAAGCCCCAGTTCTCAAAGATCGTTTCTTCCGTTTCCAGGCCTCAAGCTCAATGGCTCCGGCGTTGGGGCAGCTCAGCGGGTCAGACTTGAGAAATGGCAAGGCAAGGCGCATAAAGGCGCCAGATGTAAGGTGTACCGATGATCGATGGTGTTTCTGTTCCAGAAACTTGTATGTCAGAACTTACCTGAGCCGAAGATCTTACATACCCAACATGAACGTTGTTTTTGTAACGGATACAGGGGTGGGCGTGGAGTGGAACCCCCTAGTCACGAGTCTGGGACACATTGAAGGAACACCTCCACTTCAAATACAAGCATTCCTCAAAAAGTCCACAACTCGAATTCAGCCCCCAAAGGACACCCAAAACAAGGGTATAGAGTCTTTCCACCAACAACCCAGTTTAAGCAGGTCTTTGAAAGGTTTCGGCTCCATAAACAAGAGCAAGTGTAAGCGCGTGTGTTGACGAAATTGCTCACCCAACGTGAAGAAGGTCCTACTTACCCGGACATATAAGCCCAAAGCATACTTTTTTGGAGTTCCCCGGATAGCCCGGTGTACCAATGGTCTAGAGAATCCCTTCGACAATGTTGATTGCATGAACGTTCCCCGTCGAAGCGTTTTGAATATGCTGAAGCAGTCAGCTGTCATAGATTTCAGATACTCCATCTATAGGCCATCGACGAATGGCCGAACTCTTTTATGTTTGATGGTGATCAAAGGCAAACGAAAGGGAACCAAGGTACCCTCTCTCCAGGTTCCTTGCTTCTTGGGAGGACAAAACAGATCCACAAGCAACATGGCAAAGCCAGGCCGAAGGCGCTCCGATGAGCAGAAGTGTGCATCTCCAATGTAGCGATTATGCATCTCCCAGGAAATCCACTTGGCCCCAAGAAAGAAGCCGGAAAAGGGGAAAGCGGGTGTCTTTCTACCAACAACCCAGCCAGTTTATCTGGGTTTTTGGAAGGTTTTGGTATGTGCATACGTGCGTGCGTGCGAGTGTGTGTGTGTGTGTGTGTCCAAAAAAACAGGTTCCCGGAGGTACCGTGAACACCACCCTTTGTGGCGGCAATTGTGAGTTTCCTTTGGGTGGGACAAGGTTTCAACGGGAAATGAAGCGCATCATGGTTTTTACGCGCATTAGAGGTGGATTTGGGATTCAACAGGTTGGGAGGTTTCGAGAAATCTTGGAGACGGCCACAAAGTCAAGGCGCCCCGTTGACAGCTTTGGAAGCCTCTAAGGGTCTATCCGCAGAGGTTCAGTTTGAGCCCCGCCTGTCCGGACGACCATGCGATGTACGTTCGGCCGTGTGGCTGTCAAGGGCTGAGGCCCTTGTAATCATAGACCAAATAAATTCAAAGGACTCAATGAAAGGATGGAGCGAGATACCAAGGCCGACCAAGGCACCAACTGTTAGCTCACGTGGTCTCTATTTTCGTTTCTTCAACAACTCTGTTCCACTCATGCAAACAGGGAACCAGGATCCTCCAATCAAGTTGCGGCAAATCTATGCCGGCGAACCCGAATTCTCCTGACTGCTGTTCGACGTGTTTTTTTCTCTATAGCTGCGGCCATGGCCTGGCATGCTGACGCGGACTGCGAGGGCGTGACGGCGCAGGCGCGCGCGCAATGGCTTTCGGAGCACCAGGGCCTATCGCCGGAGCAAGCGCAGCAGCAGGTGGGGGTGGGAGGGGGGTGGGGGGCGGGTTGGGGGTCGTAACCTAAACCAAGGTGTGTCATGGTGTGTCCTAAGCCAAAAACGAGGGTTGCAACCCAACAGATCAAAGGACACCAAGGTATGCCTTTCGGGGATGTGCCTGAGAGCTCCAACTTGTTCTTGAAGGCAATCAAATCGTGTCCCAGCCTGACGTGCGGAATCCGAATTCCGGTCCATGAACGAACTGCTCCTTCCGAAACCCGTCCCTGTATTAGTTCACCTCGTGGATGACTAGCGCGCAATTTCTCCAAAATTGAAGGTGTCCCTCCATACTGTACTGGGACACCCGCCCTCAATCAGCCAGGGGTGCATACCTGGACCTTCCGACATGTAAAATTAACGCCGTTTCCCAAAACAGCAATAATGTTCGCCGGTTGCTGAAAAAACGCTCTTTCGGAGAAAAAGCGCTCGCCGTGAGTCCAGCTCGGAACCAGGCAAAACAAATACGCCGTTTCGCCTGCAAATTACGCCGTTTTGACGGCAACTTTCGCCGTTTTGCAATTTGGATTGATGCTGGAGTGTGCAAACACTGAAAACTGCCGGCAGGCGAAAATAATCGCCGTTGGGTCAAAAGACATAGTTTTTGACAAAACAACAATAATTTTGCACATGTTGGAAGACCCAGGTATATAATCCTAGGTTCCTGGGTCCCATAATCTCGAGAGCTCATTCACAGCGTCCGTGCGTGTTTTTGCGCTTCGTGAGTTGGAGATCTTGCCCCTGATGTGTCCGGTCCCCTCCCCCCTGTGAGCAGCGGCCAAAATCCGCATTGGCCATGTTTTCCGAGATGTTTGTACCACCTGATTTTGCTAGGCTTCTGGAATGTAGTCATTTCTGCATGTCTGCATAGCCTTTAAATTAGTTGAACCAAGAGCCAAGAATGGGGTTTGGGCGCTGTCAATTGCTTCAGGTCATGCAGCAGTTCCCCCAGGTCTTCGGTTGCGCTTTGCACTGGGACGACCAGAAGGACTGCAAAGGCATGAAAGCAGCGGATCGGGCCCAGTGGCTGGTGGCGAATATGCAGCTGAGCCTTGAGGCACGGGAATCCTTGAGTGAAGCGATGGGAATCGGCGGTCCTTATGCATTCCCTTTAGAGCCATGACGAACACGTACCCTCCAAAAGCACAGAATCCATGGGAATTGAAGTGTCATGGTAGCCACTCCCAAGCTCACAGAGTGGCGATCTCCCAAACTCTCAGTCCAGGGGGTTCCACTGAATACGAGAAGAGGGGTCCATTTTGTTATGTGGCCATTGGCCAAGGAAGAAAGTGCCATGGTTTGTAGATCTGTAGAGTCAAGATGTTGGGATGACTCAGGCACCTTGCTAATTTGTGGCTTGGTTTCAACTGGGGAGACCACAAGAGAACTGACCTTCAATAGGAGTGCCCAGTTTTAGGAAGTGCCGGCAAGGTTTGAGTGGGTCATGCCAATGGGAGAATCCTTTCCTGTTTAGGTGCCCCTATTCAACAACCAGGAGACAGCTCCCCTGTTTGTGATTTGTGCCAACCAAGCAACCTGCGGATGTACGGCCTGCGACATCTTGTGACTTGTTCGTGTTTGACCTTGAACCAGCCAACCTATCTACCCAACCAACCTACCAACCAACTCGCCTACCTACCTACCTGCCCAACTTATCGGCTGTTTTCACTTCAGGCAGCGCAGAAGCGGGTCATGGAAGAGTTCCCGGTGGTTTTTGCGGCGAGCCCGAGTCCCAGTGGCAAGGACGAGGACTGCTCGGACCCAATGGGCAAGACATGTGGCCACCTCTGCTTGGCAACAAGTTCATAAAGCCAAACAAATGGGTTTGCTGGGGTTTATTACCCCTTTTCAAGGCAAATCCAGGCGCCAGGCGGCAGGGTTTCAAAATGGAGGTTAGTCGGGGAGAGTCCCTTTGCCTTAAATGGATGTAAGGATATCCGTCGTTTGATTCTTTTGGGTTTGGGTGGACCAGTTTATGACAAACATATCAAAGGTCCTGCCCCCACCCTGTAAGTAATACAAGTGTCATTTTGTGGGTAATCGGCAATTAGGGGCCACATATATTTCCTAGTGGGGGGCGGGGATTGTCACAGACATCACGGTGCTGAACAGATTCTCAGGAAATCCCGTTTAAAGATAGAGAAATTCAAGAGGAAGAAGCCCCGAGCTGTTTCTGAAACCAAATCCCGCCTAATTGAGCGGGGGCCCGACAACATCGACATGGAAGGATCCTTGGACACGAGGCTTCCTTTTCGCCACCAAAGGCGAAGCATGTGCATCTAATAGCCATGTCAGAAGCAGGCTGGATTGAAAATGCCTCTTTTTAACGCATTAAGACCAACATTTGACGGTAGATTCCACAAGTGCGCCGCATCTGGTATTGCTCGGTGTGGGGCCTAGAATGACCACTTGCGGTCACCCCAGCCAGTATGTAGAAACTTGGCCGATCCCGGTTGGGTATATTCACGTGGGAACTGAGTTGCCTTGGGAATAGTGTTTTCTGTGCCGAAGGAGTCCCTCAAGTGCTGATTCAGTCATGAGGTGGCCGCTTTGTGTCGCAGACACAACTATGTTCATGCTTAACGCCAGCCCCTTTGCTACTCTGAATGGCCGAGCCTTGGCAAGTGCCTTTGCTTTTTGTGGCCGAGAGGCAAGGCTCAAAAAGCGGTGTGTTCCCCGTTTTTTTCCTCAGCCGTTCGGCCATCCAGCCATGAAGCCCTGCAAGCCAACTTCTTTTCCGCGAATCAATCATCCAGCTGGGTGAGGAATTGTGTGTTTGTTATGTTGGATGTTTGATTTTGTTTGCTTATCATGTTTGATCTGAATGCGCTCTTGCCGCACGCAAGTTTGTACTTTAGCGAGATCGAGCTCACCCCGGACCCCGAGACCGAACTCTGAAAATGTCCGTGCTGTAAATCCACCCTCCTGGCTTTCACCGTGAACTCGCCCCAACGGTATTATCATATCCTTTTCGCGTAAGTCTACAAGCCTTGTCCTCCTGCTGACAAGGGTGTTTGGCCCCTCGAGCCTTAACCCTTTACAGGATGGTTGGTGTGTCGTCTCCTTGAAGCCCAAAGTTCGTCGTCCAGACTGGCATCTGAAACATGTGGCTTTTTCACCCCAGGGTCCAAACTCGCAATCCGCGCCACCTTGGACAAAGAAGCATGTGTGACCTAGTTGTTCTTTTTGCCCTTGACGATCACGCACCTCTTGCTTGAAAAATGTTTCACTTGACGCTTCCCCGTCCTTTTTGTGTCCTTATGTGTCTTTCTTTGCGCCCATACGGCGCTTCGGAAACCGGAGGCTCTCGGATTTGTCAATCCTGAGACCATTTCACCCATTGACTTTTGGTTCTGCATGGCCAAACATATTTATAGAAGTGTTTCTTAATATAGGGATCCCTAAATGGTTGGTTTCATGCTGATTCCCTTCCGCTACCAACCGAAAAGGGGGCCCACTCGGTTTCGGGAGCTGCTCAAGGAGATGGTGCAAGGAGACCTTGTGCCTCGCCTGCTGAAGGCATGGGCAAGCCACCAGCTACAAGATCACACGAGCCAAAAGATCGAGTGAGGGTTTGTCCATGATGCCATTTTTTCCAGGGAACCACTGGCAAACCTCTTCCACCAAAGTTGGCTTCACTTTGAACATATATCCACCGCAACTCCGCAGAATTTCGAGGCAAAGTCCTATATTGCCTTCGACCTATTTCTTGGCAGGCGACACCATACCCTGCTGGAGGACCCCCCGCCACAGGCTGGCCGATGCGGCGCGACGGGTTGTTTGCATTTCGTGCATATGGGTGTGCGGTTTTGTGAGGGTGCACCTTTGGAACGATGGTTGAAAAGTATCAAGGGAGATAGAAAGGCAAGCTCCCATTCTGGGCTTCCCCCCCCATATACTTTTTGCACGTACTAATATAGAACAGCGCTGCTCCATAGCCCGTATTGATCGAATCATATTTGGGGGTCCTTTTCAATTCCCTCTATTTGGGACCACGGTGTTGTTGCAGATGGACAAGTGAAGAACGTCGGTTGCTTCGAGTATGATCATAATCCCCAATGTAGGACAGAAGACAGCATAGGATGTAAATTCAGGGAGCCATGATTACGCATGCACGGAAGGGTGAACCCGGATTCAAGTCCAAAGCAAGTCATTGACCCTCAACAGTGTAGCCATTCAGACACGTGTGTGAATCTGCCAAACACTGCCAGAGGAGGCATACGCGCACTCGGCTTCTCTTCATTACCCCGCGCAACAAGTGTCCATTGGTGGCTGGCGAGAGGTGCAAATTGAAATCGGCGCCCTCGGGCTTTTCCATTTCCGTTTCCGAATCGGGGTGTATCCCTGGCAAGGTGTTGGAGAGAGAAGGGTTGATTGGATGAGCTCAATGGTTTGGTTTTCTGGGAAGCCGCTTCAAGTGTAGAGCGACTGTGTTTTGCATCCTCATAGAATGGTGGTGTATACGAATGTTGTGTATTCGTGTATACACATACACAAGTAGGTAGGTATAGACAAATACCTTCGTTACATTACCCCTAACAATAAATACCCCCCCCCCCCGCCAACCCGCATCGAACCGCCCCATCCCCGGAACCCTTTCAGCTGTTGGGGGAAACATCATCCTCGGATCTCATCATCGCCCCAACCATGGGCAAAAAAAGCTGCCCCCCAGTTTGGGGACCCCTTCCTCCCAAATCGTGTTTTCCGCGAGGCCCAAAGGCTGGCAGCGCTGAGGCCAACCCTCCCACCTGGCCGGAGTCAGCCCGGGGCCTCAGCTGAGCGTGCTTTGGGCCTCAAACAAAGGCAAACCCACATGTTTTTTTCAGCAGAAAAGGAAAGCGCCCCAAATATTTCGAGTTTCCTATGATTTTGTAGGGCTTTGCGTTCTTCAATATTTACCGCCACAAACACGTCCACAAGCTTACTGGAAGTTTGCTTTTGGCGTGTTGGTGCGTCGTGCGTTCCTTTCTTAGAGATGTGATTTGACCGTGCTTCAGTGCGTAAATTTGGGTGGAGCAACCTTTGCTTTTGCAACCGCGGACCTGGCCAGCCGCTTCTTCCTGGTGCTAGTTCAACTTCATGAGTTTCCCGTGACTAGCAACAAGCGATTTGCTTTTGCACGGGGTCTGGGCAATTTAGGTTGGACAAGTTTGACCCTTTTCTTTGGGCCGTTGCATTCCCTTCCTATATTTTGGTTCTCGCTTACTTGTGGAGGTTATAAACGCCAGAACTTATAACCAAATTACACCATACCTAATAGCATGCCTAATAGAAGTCCAGTAAGCGCTAATTCATGCTACGGGGAGCTACAGTCACTTTGCTAAGTCACAGAAGTACGTACGGATCTTACAACGTATTGCAGAAATCGTGTTTTTTTTTGTTTTTTCCCCGACGCAGAAAGCAGACACGTTTTGGAAAGGTGTGTTTTTGCATGAAAGGCGTGCTTACGAGTGTGGATTGATGGTGATGGGGAAGCACATAATCGCCACCAAAAAAAAGACTCATCAAAAGCCGCGTTCTCGCGGCAGCATGCAAAAGCGCACATGGGTGCGTGCGTAATGTTGTGACGCGCGTCGTCAATTAGTGGCTTTGCCGCTTGTCGGTTGAGCGGCCTTGCCGCTTGGTTGTGCGGCCTCGCCACTCGGTCGCAAGCGGCCTCGTCGCTTGCAGCATCCCACGCAGTTTAATAGAGAGATGTATACATATTTGGTGCATGTATAGACGTATCGATATACGTATGCACCCTTCCCTCCCCGACACATTCCTGACATACCCGACGCATCCCGAATACACGTCCCCGACACATCCCGGCTGCATCCCGACACGTCCCCGACGCGTCCCCAACACATCCCGACACACACACACACACTCGCACACACACACACACACACACACACACACACACACACACACACACACACACACACACACACACACACACACACACACACACACACACACACACACACACACACACACACACACACACACACACACACACACACACACACACACACACACACACACACACACACACACACACACACACACACACCGACCCATCCCCCAGCAAACCTCCGACACACACACACAGCGCACGATGTATTCCACGGCATTTTCACGAACTGCATGTGTACAAGCGCTTGGTATACAGCGCAGCCGTGCGTCAGCGGGCTATATTATATAGGACATACCAGACGATAGATTGATAGATAGATAGATAGATAGATAGATAGATAGATAGATAGATAGGGAAATATGTAAATGGACTCCAGAAGGATAGAAAGAATCAGAGACAGAGATTTAGGGAGATAGATAGATTAGGATAATAGGATAGTAAGATAGATAGATAGATAGATAGATAGATAGATAGATAAGATAAGATAAGATAAGATAAGAACAGACGAGATAAGATAAGATTATATTGTATTATATTATGTTATATCATACTAGATCAACTGTTGGGCTCGTGTGCAAAAGGCACGATAAACTATTGTCATCCAAAAGATGTTGTTTTGAATGGGCAAACTCTTTGGTCTTGGTACACAACGGCCGGGTCTAGAGATTAAACGTAAATAGTTGGATTAGATAGGAGAGACGGATAGAGGAACAGGCAGGTAGATAGATAGGTAGGCAGGTAGGTAGATAGCAGATTGATGAATTAGCTTGGATTAGAATAGATTAGAGTAGGCTGGTAGGTAGACAAACCGACAGATAGGTGGACGATGTACTTCTGCGCAGATGGACAGACCCAACAGATAAATCGACAGACAAATGGATCTCAAATAGATGCATAAATAAATCCATGGATGAATAGGCAGGCAAATGGAAAGATCGACAAATCAATAGGTCAGGAGTAGGCAGGTAAATGGATAGGCAGGGACACAGGCGCAACAGTAGCTTGGGCAATGCATTTGCATTCAGGTTCGTGGCATCTATCTGGTTCTTCCCCTGGTGTGGTAGGGGAAATGGTAATCAGCTCTGACGGCAACTAGGAACCACTTGAGTGACTCGACAGCTTGCTCCTTCGAGGTCAAAATCTTCCGGAAGGGAGATGACTATGCGGCCATAGACCAGATTTACGAGGACCGCCCCCGAAAAGGCTGCCAACGACACGATGAAACACGGGGACAACTGTGGGAAGCGAGCAGGAAACCCTGGGAAAATTTCCATGGAAACGCAAAGGGGAAGCAATGGCAAAAGAAATGTATTCAGAGGGACCAACTTGGCAATCCCTTGCAGAGTAGCTACTTGAAGTCACGCAGGGCCATCTCAATGGGAGCCGAGACACCCTTTGTCCAACCACATATATTTGGGTGACCTTCTGTAATCTTACATCTTACGAATGTGCCTCGAGATACCTGGGCATATCGCCATCAGATGTGAGCATGAGGTGGCACACCACAACCTACGTTCTTTTGCTGCCGCACTTTCTGAGCTAAGGATAGCCTTCCACTGTTTCATGAATCGTTTTGAGAGAAACGCCCTCATCCCCGGAGCTGCTGACAAGAAGCATCAATGAGTAGATTGGGGCATCAATCCGTAACGCGTTGCTCGCATGGGAACGAAGAAGGTCACCTTCTTTGTGACGGTCTTGCAAGTGGACAGAACGCCTTTCGTTTAGCCAAACCCTCCGATCGTTAGCGTCCGTGTTGGAAACAGGGTTGTTCACCCTGTTTCTGTCAGAGTGGCCTGAATCTAAAGCCTCACTCACAGTTTGGTGTCACCTGGGGTGGCGGTACAGGGGGACGGGGGAATACTCCGTTCGTTTGTTTATGCTAGCTCCTCCCCCAGATGTTGCTTCGTTTTGAGAACACGATTCTGGCTAAGTTGGCGATGACGGCAGGTGCCCGCGTTTCTCTTTATTTCCCTGAGGTCCCATGTTGAGAGAGACTTGTCTAAGGCAAACACTGCTGCGCTGGCTGTGCCATTTTAAAGGGGGCATCAAGTCAACCGAAGTCAACCCATGAGGAGATGAAGTCCTTGGACAAAGGCCAGTTCTCGAAGAGTCGGTACGCCATCTTCTTCGAAGCCGCGCCCGGCAAGATCCATGAGGCGATCCGATGTCAAGCGGTCAGGGCGCCTTTCGGGCCGTGACCAAAAGAAGCTACGACACACAGGTGCCCCTTTCAGGGTGCCCCTTTAGGGGGGTCCCTTGGCATACCCTCCAGTAGCTTCTTTAGTGTTAAAAACACATTTGAAGAGCATCCTTTGAAAGAACTTGTGCCCCGGGCTGCCCGGATATAAAGTTCGTAAACGTTTTTTTGTGTTTTTTCTTTTTCCGTATTTGAGGCACTCATCACATTCTACCCTCTCGGGCTTTTGGAACAAACCTGATTCAGGTTTCAGCTGAAACCCATCCACAAGTTGTGGCCATGAGTCTCCGACTGCTGTGTTGTGTTGATTATTATTGTTGTTCTCGGTGCGTGAGTGATGTGTCCTTCAGCTGATACTGTACTGGTTTGATGAAAGTGATGTTGGTTGATCCGGTCCAGTTGCTGGTGGATACACGATATGTATTTATATATATATATATATTGATAATACATGTGTGTGTAAATAATCATGTACATTTGAACATACATACACAGTTGATTGTGTTTTTTGTTCATGTATCATGTGTATACATGCTATGTATTTGTATCTGTTACACACATATAGATGTTGCATATGCATATATATATATATGTGTACGTTATAGAGAGAGAGAGATCAATGTTTGCATGCACACAGTGTTCCAGAGGGTGGACCCATTGTCCTAGAAATAGGTGGCACGGTTGAGGGAGGCCAATAAATCATCAGGCCAAGTGTTTCAGGAGCCCAAAGTTCAACAACATGGTAGTCTAAAGCCCGCTAAGGCTTGATGTTTCCTGGGGCGGGCGGAGTTTTTTCCAGAATACTCCCCACCAGATTTACACACACCAAACAAAGGACCCCTAAAGGCTTTCAGTGCATGGGCAGAAGCCACATCCATGGCGCACTCAAATGGCACCTATAGACAGATGCAATTAGTCATTGAAGTGGGTAAACATGCAATGAACGCCCGACGCACAGACTGGCCAGACTGGGCACCAAAATTAATCCCAGAAGAACATGGCGAAGAGTAGCCAAACTGTTTCCGTTGTTCTATTTGTGTGAGAGGGAGTTGGCATGTTTTTGCCCGACAGGTGGCCGCTTTGCTTACGAGTCTTAGGTATCCACAAGCTTTTCTGGCCAGGTCCCCGTACGGCTTTTGGCGGGTCTCCCATCTGATCTTACGTTTCCTCTTAGTGGAGAAGTGTAAGCGCGGGACATATTGAAATATTGAGATTCCTGAGACACTGTCCATGTAGGCAGACCGTATTCCAGCCATTTCGGCCAGGTGAGCCAGGCTCAGAGCGCAGCGTTTGAGAGGACCGGTCGCAACAGGTGGACGTGCGGATTGGGTACTACACTTCTGTGTATGGCCTCGGCAGACACCCTGCTGATACAGAGGCGTGGAAAATGCTTTCCTTTCTTTCAATGTGCCCCCAGTATTCATCCCTCGTGTTTATGAATCCTGGTATCCCATTAAACGTGCACAAATTGCAGCGCCTGGGGTACGACAATGAAGATTCCATTCTTGGGGGTCCCTTACTTCAGGCTGTTGAATTCCCCATGATTCGCCCAACAGATACATTCTTGTTGCTGCTGTGTCCAAGCTGTGCCACATTCAACATACATACCTGCTCACTTGGCATGAAGGTCATCAGCTCGGCATGATGGTCATCAGCTCTGCCCTAGGATTTCAATCATGTTGCAGCTTCTTGATTTCCTTCCGTGCGTGCGTGAATACGAAACATCCCAGGTTGTTTTAGGAGCAGTTTTGAGGAGGGCGGCGGTCGAATGAAGCAGACATACAGGGGTCGCAAGGCTACCCCAGGAGAGAAACAGGGGAATAGAGCAAAATGACCTTGGGAGAGCCAATGCTTTCTTGTTGTGTAGAAGGATCCATCCATGTTTTTTTGTGTTCTCCCCGTAAACAAGTTGTTTGAGGATTGGGGCCGTTGCTGCAAGCACACCTTGCCATTAAGAAGCTGTACAAAGTCAAACATTGGCATCAGCCTTCAGCCTTCATTCCATACGCTGCGTTGTCTAACAAGCTAAACTATTTGGAAGCCACAAGCAAAGGACACATTCATGCTGTAGATGGTGCATTTAACATCATTCTTACCCTTGGCCTGTACTCCTCTTGATTCTGTGTTGCCAAGCAGTTGATTCCCCAAGGCACCACCCCAAAACTTGCAGACCGTCAAGATGCGTATAATGTGTAAACAGGTGATGTTGAGGACAACTTTGTGCAGGTTCATTAGTTACTTGTCCGCCACCTGGTGACTGCGATTGGCTTGTTCCATCACTTTCACGTTGCCAGTAGCTTGTTCCATATGTTTGTGGTCGCCACTGGTTTGTTCCATGAATTGGTTCCCATAGTTTGTTCCGGCTCTTTGTGGTTGCCGCTAGCTGATTTCCTTGCCTTGAAGCTGCCCTTCCTTATTCCGTTACGCCTCGAGGTTTCGTGTTTTGGATGTCTTTGTTGTGGTCCTTAGTTCCAACGAGTCTCTTTTGGCCTCCCGCTTAAGAATGGGATCCGAGAATGGACCAGCCCCTGCTTGAAAATAGGATGCCCATTAAGAGGGAATCCGGATGACTTTGGGGGGAGCTGCATTAATCCCTCAGGTTTGTTCGTCCTTTTTGCCATTTCCAGCGACAGGGATAGGGGAGTTTGCGACCTTACCCAAGAAGTTCCTTATCTTGTGGAATTGGGGATGCAACTTGTTTTAGGTTGGTCAATTCCTTGTAGTTCACCCGAACAAATGTACAGTTATCTATATATATATATATTCAACATGCTGAATCACTAGGCATAACGCTCATCACTTCATCAGCTTTGAAGAATCCGCCCATGGGAATTGGTTGATGATGGGAGGTGACCATGGAACCCCCATGGTCATAAGAGTTCCAGGTTGAATCTTCGAAGATGTCATGGGGATGTCAGGTGCGCAGCGTCACCTCCACCAACGAGACCCCACACCCGGAGCTGGGCTCGCTGCAGAACTTCTGGCGTTCCGTGGAGAACCTGCAGACAGGCGGGGAAATGTCAAGTGTCCAAGTGTCCTTTTCATTTCCCCGGTTTGTAGTTGGAAGTTTGAGGAACCCACTTTTCGAACCGAGCCCTAGACGCTCCCTTCACAGGATCTGGGTTCTAAACCAACTATGGTCGGGGTTCGTAACACTGGTTCTGGGGGTGAAGATGGCTTTGGCCAACTTCCTGTAGAGCGTCCTGCTGGTTTCTCCGAGATCTGCGTTCAGAAACAGAACTATGCTCCCGATGAAACAAAAATGTCATGCTTCCCTGACTAGCCCAAAACCATGTTGACATGCAAGTTTCCAACAATGCTTGTTGTCACGGTCAGTGATTACGTAAAACATCCGAGACGCCCTGGGATGGGTTGAAGAGTTCTGTTTAAACTAAACGGGGCCATCAGCATGGGTGCGGCGGTGTGACACCATCCTAGGGCTACTCTTCTTTCCAGCCCGCAACATACAGAAGAAAGCACAGCCAGCTACAACTTGAAATCAGCTCGATCCTCACACACACATTGGCCTAAGCCACACCCCCTCAAAGCAGCTCGAAACCAACCCCAACTGCTCATGGATGACCCCGGCAAGTCTACTACCAAGCAATTAACCAATAAAACACGAAAGCAAACAAAGAGCACGGACCCGCCAAAATACTCAGCCAATCAACCGACCGACCCAGCAACCAACCAAGCAACCAAGCAAGCAAGCAGGCAAACGACAAGCAGGCAGGCAGGCAGGCAGGCATGCAGGCAGGCAGGCAGGCAGGCAGGCAGGCAGGCAGGCAGGCAGGCAGGCAGGCAGGCAGGCAGGCAGGCAGGCAGGCCAACCAACCAACCAACCAACCAACCAAGCAACCGAGCAACCAAGCAAGCAAGCAACCAAGCAACCAAGCAACCAAGCAACCAAGCAACCAAGCAACCAAGCAACCAAGCAACCAAGCAACCAAGCAAATAAGCAACCAAGCAACCAAGCAACCAAGCAACCAACCCCCTTTGGCTGTTTAGCCACTCGCAATAAACACCAATGTTAAACAAGCAAACACATGTTTCCTGACTGGAGCGTCGAGAACTTTATCAATGAATCTTGCTTTCCCAAGAATGAGATGCATCGAAGTGGGTATTTGTCATGAGGGGACAAGGAATTGTTGCGAATGTTCAGTTTGTGACGATACTCGACCAGCATTAGAGGAGCCTGGTTCTACGCCTCCATCACTGCGCACTGTGTGCAAGGGTGCACAAATCCAGGCTTTGCCCATACTCTATCGGCACTCCCCACTCCATCATTGCCATTAAATGTCTTTGCCACAAAAGGGAGAATCAAACTATATGTAGATATAAAAGCAGATCTCCAGGGTCACCCCGAAACGGGGATGCTTCCTGGATAGCTACCTGAATCCATGGCAAAGGGCTTCAACCATTTCGGCAAGAGCAGGAGTTCAAAAGAGGGCCTGAGATGGGACTCCAACCATCTTGCCAAGCCCACATCCCCGGGCTGGGTCCTTAAAATGGGGCGCACACAAACGCTGGGTTTGCTTGTCCGCCAAACCACCCCAAGCAGCCCACAAGGTGTCTCCACAGCATTGGCCGGAACTTCCGCGAACTTGCGGGGAAACCCCCTCAGAACCCCTTCCACATGGATTGACCCCATAGCCGTTTTTTTCTGTTTTTTTCTTCTGGGGAACGGGGTAATGTGAGCTTTGGATACCACCAAGGTGAAAGTATTTGGTACACGTCCCTTTTCTCCAGGTAGGTGAAGGGGATGACTAAACCAAAATGGGGAGCTGTGCCAGCTACTTTCAGCCAACTGTAATTCGATACTAATCTCGTCCCCTTTTGGCGAGGAGTCAATTAGTGATTCTATGGAGCCTGGCATGTGGGACATCTTGGGTAAGACCAGTAGTAACACCCCCACCCCACAACACTCGTCTCAGAACTAGGGGGGTTGTCAGTTGGAAGAGGCCTCGGGATCAAACTTTGTAGACGAAGGGAGGCATACTATATCTACAGAACTCCTTTGATTTGCATGAATGAATCCGTAGTCAACACCATGAAAAAGACGAAAGCCAGGGCGCGCTTTGAAGCAACGCCGATAGCTTTGCTGAATCAACCGGGCTGGAGAGGGCTTGAAGGAACAACTACCAGGGATGATTTGGAAAGGGGGCATTCCCGAAACTTCCCTGCTGAGAACCAGCAAGCTAATCATGTTACCCGTTGGGGTGGTGCCTTCGTTGTCGGGGTAAAGCGCAACTGGCAACTGCTTCAAAATACGATGGATTCACAACAACTCAGACCTCCATCAGGAGTTGTTTCAGGCTGGTTTACACGGAAACCAAAAGGGGATCTATTGATCATCATCAAAGTCATATATTGTCCTTGCTCGTTGCTTAGAAGGTCCAAAGGGTGGTTTCAGCTTTGGTCAATCTGCTGAATCCTGCCCTGCGTCAATCCCGATGTTTGGCGTTCGAAGAGGTGGCCACCTCACGTACTGCCTGGAGGGCAAGGGTGGAATGCTCTGGGCGGTCTCCCAAGCAGCGCCCCTGCGGCGAGTGATCGTGGCTCGGCACGCCTTTTCGCCTTTTTGGTAAGTGCCAGGTCAGCGCTTAACGGACGTTGTCATGTTGGTGCACGCTTTGAATAGATGTTGTTCGTGTGGACCTGGGTGGCGCGAATGGTTGAACCAATTGCGACCCAACAGGTTATCGTTTTGGTAGAGGGAGCGTTTCCTGGATGGTTCCAAGAGCTTTCAACTTATAACTTATAACCGTTATCAAGCATAGACTTCGGTATAACTGTCACTTCCCAGGCTCTAAAAGACCCCTAGATGTCCTCAGCCGAGCAAACCACCTTGACAATCCATAAAGTATGTGTCAAAGGGGAAGCAAACATGGTGGCTGCCCATGACCTCCGCCAATCCGCGGGTTCTCAGTGTGACTATTCGCCAGTTTTCGTGGGATCAGGGTGCCCGGATCAGGGTGCCCGTTTTAATTACTGTGTGAGACGACTGAGGGTGGCGATCTTTTTCTTGGCACTTTCTGGCTCAAATCTGTTCGAGCCATGCCTGGAACCCCGGCAAATCATTTTATGGAATATCCTACTCTATCACCCCAAACACACCATTCCCAATAAATTGATGTATCTTTGTATTCGCCAAGGGGATGATTTGTTTGGTGTGTTCGGGGTCGAGCCCTTTTTGGATCGTCAACGCCCTTCATTTGTCCCATGTCCGAAGGCAAGCCCTGCACACAAACATGGCTCGCAGGTGAACAACAACCTCTTCCTTTGGTACTTCCGCCTGCCGCCGCAGGGGGTGGCTGCCACAGACGGGAGGCCGGACTTTTTTGTTTTTTCTCTCTCCTTTTTATAACCCCGGAGAGGGAGTTCTGACTCTACGAATGATGGTTACAAGTAAGCCCGGCCTTTAGCTGTACCCTTCAAACATGGAAGTGAGACACCCTCTAATAAAGGGTAGGCCCTCATGTTTGGTAGGGCAATTGAGTCTTTTGTCAAGCAGGGGCTTGAGGACAGCATGCGCAAGGGGAGGAGAGGATGTCACCCTAAGATGTAGACCCACCAAAAGATTGATTGAAACATGGCGATGACTCTTTGGGGATCGGCGACTGGGGCCAGGTTCTGTGGTACAACGGGAACCTTTGACGGGATGATGTGGTCGAGGGGTTCACAAACTAGGTCCCCCAGTAGTGCCCTTTCTCATTCCTTTTTTGGGGGAGGGTTCCCCTACTAAAATAGACTACAGAAAAAAGGATGCCCTTATTCTAACCTCTCTACTGGAGGACCTAGAGAAAAGCTCTTTTCTCCAAAAAGAAGCTCTTTTCTCCAAAAAGGCTCGGCTTGTGCAACCAGAACGCGGTCCCAACAAAGGTGGCAACCCTAACATGTTGCGACATGGAGTGTTTGAGACGGTCTTGACACTGAGCACCATGAATCTCGACAGGTGACGTATATGCAGATTGCCGCATAACTTTGGTAACGGTCCCCCTAATGATAAACCGCCCCCTAATGAACAATACCTCGGAGGGTTTTTGTTAGAAGGGTCCCCCGGTTTTTAGCCAGAACTGTTTCAGAGTGGGTGCGTTGTTTAGTATGGGGTTCAAATTGGAAAAGAGGGACCCCTTTGATTTGCAAAAAGAGCGTTCAGAACGCAAATGTTGAATAAGAACTTGCACAGGAAAGAAGAGCTTGACTGAATTCATTTGGTTTCCAGAGAGTTTAGTTTTGGTTTAGTATTGTATATTGAAAATTGGTAATGGCAATGTTTCCGGTCGGCTGGAGGGGTGTTTATGTTTCTTGGGGATCCGCCTAAAAATAGGCAGAAGTAACTACCGCTTAAGAATGGAAGTGGGGCTGGGGGGAGGAGTTCCATTCATTCAATTGGTTGGTGTTTACTTTCAGGGGAAGGCTAAAATGGAGTTGGGCAACCCCCAACTTTTCTTTTCCAGGTGTGTGAGCAGCAGCAAGCAAGGTGAGTTGTCCATCTTGTTTATAAACCTTCTAGGTTTCATCTGAGTTTGTAGGGGTGTATCATGTAGTCTGGGAAGTGTCCAACCAACAGCAAGTTAGTACTACTCGTAGGTATCATGGACCACATAGACATAGAGTATATAATATTAGGCAGAGAGCTTTTTGGAAGCGAGCAACTTGACAATTGTTCCTTCGAAGAGACTCTATCAGCACGCATGCTCAATTGCCTGAAGGGAACTGAAAGAGGATGAATATGTTTTCCCCCAGACCTCCTATCTAGCAAGTTAATCTTAACCAACACGGCGAAGGTACCCCAATCAAGGCGTCGTCTTGGATTACGATGGCTGGGTGAAGCTGGGCTATGTCAATCCCATCGGCGACTTTGCCAGTGCCTTGGCCGGTTGGCCGGGCCTGGTCGGTTTCAGTCGCTCGGTCGCCGCATGCGACAGCTGCAGGCCAGTTGAGCAACTGACAAAACTGATGGTAATCTTTCCCATGTTTGGGGAAGACATGGAGGTTTTCTATTTCTGTCCTACAACCACCAGGTGGCCTGCCCAATTTTCTCATGTGCTCATGGGGAAGCGTTCGCAAGTTTGTTTGTTGCTCAATGAAGGAAGGCTACAGAGAACAGCTGTCTCTGCAGCCAATCACCTGTGCTTCATGGGGGTGCCATGAATGTCAAGTGGCAACTTGTTTGCTACACTTGGTTGCCATTCTTGATTTGTTTTTGTTTTGTTTTTTGAATAGATGTCCTGCTCAAGATGCCTACCCGGGTACTAGTACTCCTTTTGTCTTGCCGCCACACGCGTTTGAGTCGAACTGGTTAAGACTTGTTTTTGTTTCCATATGGAGGAAGGAGGCCACCAAAAGCAAAAGGGGGGTCAAGGATGCCAGCTTCGTTGGTGGAGAAGCAATGCAGGTGTCTCCACCCCCTGCACGATATTGAAGTTGAAAGAATCAAAGGTGGTTACCTGGGTTGACCAAGAACTCTGCACACACACACACACACTTCAAGTTAAGTAGGTTTCGGTGACCAACAAGGATGCCACGCACTGATTCCTTGGTTTTCCTTTTTGAACAGTCTAACTAAAAGCACGTGAGCTGCCAAAAAGGGGCAAGCCCTTGTGCCTAGAGGTGGCGGCTACATGGCGAATGTGAAAGTGAGCCTCGGAAGGGTGACTTGGGTTGAGCAGCGCCCAACACCCCACTTGGCGCCTTGGTCCATGTTCACCTGGTTTCATAACAGTTAGAACAGATCCCAGAGGAACCGGGCCCTGGTAGCCGTGTCGGCACCAGCAACAGTCAGAAAATGTTTAGGTGTTTGGGCGCTGCTCACTTGGGTTGAGTTCGGACATGGACATGCTGCGACGGTGGTTTGGTGGCTTACATGAGGCAACCTGTACTACACATTCATGTTTATATTATATGGTTCTGGGCTACTTCCGCTTGCCGTGTGCTTTGCTTGATGAAAGCAGGGGTGCTTTTGCCGGATTGAGTGCATCAGACCGTTCCCGGGCCAAATCTGTATCCTGTTTGTTTTGGTCTCCCAAAGATTGCTGATAGAATGGGGCTGCAATATATAGTTTTGGGTATCACCGCTATGCGAATTGCGAATTCAGGGTTTGGTACGGAGAACCCCGGAACCACACCAAGCCCCAGTAACAAAAAAGGGGGTCTGTGCTATCTCCGGAGCGCAGCTGATCTACTTCGGTTTGGTGTGCAGAGGCCGGGAGCTTTGAGTGTTTTCTGGCGACAGCTATAGGGTAGAGGCTGGTCAGGTTCCGATCCAAAGCTGTGGATGTTCCTTGGGGTCACACCGTCACATCAGATCGATGTCGGAGACATCTTTGCTAGAATGACCCAGACGAAAGATGAAAACTCAAAGCTTACTCGAAGTGTGTGCAATTTAGTTGGATGGGTTTCGCTTGGTGGAACCTTGTTTGCTCAAGCCCTCATGATAAAACCTAAAAGTATCCATAATTTGGTGTATGTCGAAGATTCCCGAAAGGCTCGCCTTTGGTGGCTACAATGGACAAGTTGCCGTCGTCATTGATAAGTCTTCAACTTCAGAGGGTAGATTTTCTTCAAGACAGCAAAGCATTGCGCGCTCTATCGCCACTTCAATAAGTAGATCTAGACCTTGTGTTAGCAGCTTGATCACTGATGCCTGGTTGGGGTGTTGCGTCCTGCGTGGGTTCTGCTTTCCCGCCAACAATGGAAGTTCACAGCGCCCTTCCCCAAAAGGAATGTGCGTCTTCCAAAATGGGCCTCTGCACTTCCATGTTTGTTGGCTGGAGAGGCAGTTCATCCGGACTCCGAGGGAGACCACGAGGAAACCAAGCTGAGCAAGCTGTCCTCACTTTGTCGAGATTGTTCTACCAAAGGAAGCATCTTTGAGGGGTCGGGAATGCGAGAGATTGCGAGGAGGACCGATTTTGTTACCCAGCTGTTTTGCCCATTCTTTCAACAGGAGGGTTTCCAAACTTAAGGCCCCAAGAGTCATAGCAATAGGACCCTACTCCCCTCCGTTTCCTAGAACAAGACCCACAGCCAAGGGAAGGCCTGAAAAGGAGGAAGCCCGGGGGGCGGGGGGGGTGGATCCGATGAAAGAAAGCTCTGAGAAACCAGATGGAAATTCGCGGGAACGTGACAAGCTCGAAGCGAGGAACGGCGAAGTGAACCTGGGCTCCCAGCAGCAATTCTTTGCGCGGAACTGCGAGGCCACAAAATGGGCCCAAGGCGCGGCAACGGGGGAGACGGATGAGACCCTCGCCTAGAGGAACAAGCTCAAAGATACAATCATTCTGGTGATTGGTAGGGGATTCCTACCAGTACTTATTCCACGGGCTGAATTTGACTATTTTAAGCAGATGTCCGCCGAAGAGACTCTATCCGGTTGTGCAGGTGCTGTGAGGAAGCGCTGAGAGCCGAAAGCAGTAGTTTCCCGCGCTTCATGGTTGGTTGCCTACACAGAAACAGCCATAGTTTCACATAGCATTGAGGGATCAGGGTGTTCAGTTGGTTTGTGGAAAGGCACTAAGCTGAATTTCAGTCGGCGTTCCGTCGAAAACCAGGTTTCCGGTTAAAGAATCGGGCTTTGCTTCCTGAAGCCCGTACAATTGTCCATGTGCTTTTCAAAAACCATTTTTCTTTTCTGAAAACCCGATTATGTTTCGGAACCCGCATTTTTGTAGGATTTGGGAGTAGCAGGTGTTTCTGGACATAGAATCAACATTGGGTTGAAAAAGAAACCCCGCACCTTGTTATGTAAGGGCCCGTCCCCGTAACTTTCCAGCAGCTCAATACAAGGGCTTCGTTCCAAGATTGCGGGCCTTTTTTGCACGGAAACAACCGCCCATGATGTGTTTTGAGGGGTCTCCACAAGGATTTCTTCGAGCCCATAAAAGGTGAACCGCCACAGTCTACAGATTGGTTTTAGTATCCCTTTTTTGAGGGAGCAAGGGTCACTTGACAGGGTCTTTCGAGTGCAAGCGCGGAAACCGTTCCGGCCAGGCGCCTGGAATTTCGTCTTCGTGGGGTGCCCCGGTGCACCCCACCAACAGGCGCCCAAGGGCCCGGTGTACAACAGCCTCGAGACGTCTCAGGCGGAGAAACTGCCTTGGGCCCAGGTTTGACAATGTTTGACCCTTGGGCAGCCCAATGGTTTCATCCAGTTTATAGCGGGTAACCAAGGGAACAACCCTTCAAAATCCCCAAAGAGGTTCGTTTACCCACCACAGCTCGTAATATCACTGAGATCCACAGGGTAGAGAAACCGAGTACTGCGTGAAACATGGCGTCAGGCTAGATATTATGAGCTTCTTGGCAGCGAACGTGTTTGTCGTTGACCTGAGTAGTACCAGTATGTGCACATGATACATCCGTTCATAATAGAAAAACTGATGGCTGATATCGTAAAGAGTGCTTCCCACTTGCCTTTTGCGTGGACAAGTCCAGGATGCACCCAAGGGCCTCGCATCTGGGGAAATTTCAAGGACCGGTAGCTGAGCCCAGCTCTTGGCCAAAAATACGTGGGGGGGGGAGGCAGTGGGGTGCGGCAACTGGCTCTGCGCAGGTCATTGCCGAGAAGCCCTTCATCATCAAAGAGCGGCCTGGCAGCTGAAATTGTCCAGTCTATGGTGCCACCTCAAATAGCATTCAATCCAGCAAGCTTGGCACGCTCAGTGGGACGTGTTCAGAGGTTTCCTTTTGAGAAGCCTGCGTTTTTTTGTGGTTCCATTTGAATTTTGTGGAGACCCTCTCCCCTCTTTCCCACCCGGATGTCAAGAAATGGACACCTCTCGATGGCCGAGGGATTGTCTCTGCTGACTGGCGGCGTGGTCAAAGTAGTGAGTCAGTGTCAAGTTGAAGTGACAAAGTACTTCTAGTCGGCTGGTTCATGGCCGCATCTGGTGAGTTACAGTTTTCTTGCAATAGTAAGAGACACGCGATACCAGTGTTTCGATCCCGCCTGTGAGTTTGTGCTATGATGTGCCTGAGCTTGTGAATCGCTTAGCGTGACTATACTCGTCAGCTTACCGGCATCCGATCAGGAACAGCTTTCTCCCAAGAGCCAGGCTGTTTCCTTGCTCAGGAGGTTCCCAAACATTTACGACTTTGCACCTCTCGACACCATCTTGGCTTAGCGGTTTAGTGGTGTCAGCGGCAGTATCCGATCGAAGCTACCCACTGCCTGGGCTCGATAAGACTGACGCGTCACGGCCAAGAGCTCGGCTTGCCCGTCAAATGGATTCAGAATCCCAACCCAATTTTATGAAAACCGTCCCTCCAATTTGAGCACTTCCCCATGACAAAATTCCCGCCCTTGACTGGAATTTGGTTGTCTGTTTGTTGCGAGTTCTATTTTGAAACATTGCCAAATCATGTTTATCGCAGCAGGTGCCACATGTTTACCAGTTCGTTGGTCTCGGATGATTGGCCAGGTCCGAGCGTTTCAAGCTGGTGGTACCCTCTGTGTATGACCACCGCAGCGGGGTGGACTTTAACGTGCTCGAGGATCAAGGGATGCGCATGTGGACCCCTGCAGGTGGGGTTGCTTTTTGCTTCCCTTGAAAACCATGCAAAAAGGGTTCCCAATTGTGTGACCCCACTTAGGAGGTTCACAACCATGGTAGGCAGGTAAAGGCCATAGATACCAATCCCGGTATCCTGTGCCTTAATGACGGAGATCCGGGCTAAGTTGAGCAAGGTGAGAAGATGTCGTTTCTGGGCGAGAGGAAACCAACAGAGATAGATATTCCGACAAATATCTAGCAACCGACCATGCCTAGAATTCTGAATCCCAGCTAGTTTATGCATGGTGATTGGTGATGGTTCCATCTCGCAACCAACCCAGACAAAAATTATCTATGCTTGCTGTTCTTTTGCTTTCCCTCAAGGATCTTCATGGGCAGAATTCCAATTACATTGACATACGTCTGTGTGCTTTTCTTGACTGCTATTGGGTTGGATCTTTAGACTTTAACTTTTTGGCAAATAAAGGGGGTTTCCACCAAACCCCCAAAAAGTTAAACTTTTTGCAGGGGGGGCCAAGTTTTGAGGGTATGCTTTTCAGGTTGGCTTAAGGGGAGACATCAATGCCAGTTGGACCCTTCCTGGTGGCAAATGGGAGCTGGATCCGGAATGGGGAGCTTGCAAGCTGAACATGTCAAAATGGTAAGCTACCCTGAGTTCGTACCTGAAGAGTCTCTTGGTACTTTGTAAGGATGTACTTTGACCCTTTTTAGTCCCTGGCATTTTGAAAAGCTGCTTGAGCCCTAGTCACGCGCTTTTGCTTCAGGCCTTTCCAAGCCAGATAGTCAAAGACTCGGTCAATTCGACTGGGTGCCTTGGGTGTCCACTGGCCCGAACTACAGAAACTTCTATCCCTGTGGGCGAAACCCTGGCCCTGCTGACACCCTGCCCCAGGAGGAGGTCCGAGATTTCGAGGGCGTCTTCGTGGCGCAGCCGAGGCACCTGGGAGGGGCACGAACCGCCAACAGGGCCAGTTTGTTTTTCTTTATATATATATATATATCTATCAGGTGCTCAGGCAAGCCTTGTCAACGTCGGTTTTGTGTGTTTGTCCTATTTGTTTATGTTTGCCCTTTGGATTGTTTGTTTGTTTGGGTTTGATTCTTTGTTGGCTTGCTTGTTTGATTGTTTGTTTGTTTGTTTGTTTGTCTGTTTGGGTTCAGTTGTTTGTTTGGTTTGTTTGATTGATTGATTGTTTGTTTGCCTGTTTGCTTGTTTGATTGAATGGTTGTTTGTTTGGGCTTGTTGGCTTGTTGGCTTGTTGGCTTGTTGGCTTGTTGGCTTGTTTGTTTGCTTGTTTGTTTGGTTGGTTGGTTTGTTTGTTTGGCTCGGTTGGTTTGCTTGCTTGTTTATTAGTTTTGTTGTTTCTTTGTTTCTTTGTTTGTTTGTTTGTTTGTTTGTTTGTTTGTGGGTTTGTTGGTTTGTTGGTTTGTTGGTTTGTTTGTCTGTTTGTGTGTTTGGTTGGTTGGTTGGTTGGTTGGTTGGTTGGTTGGTTGGTTGGTTGGTTGGTTGGTTGGTTGGTTGGTTGGTTGGTTGGTTGGTTGGTTGGTTGGTTGGTTGGTTCTTTGTTTACTTGCATTGTTTGTGTTGTTTGTGTTTCTCATTTGCTTGCACGCTAGCTATCTTGCTTGCTTGCTTGCTTGCTTGCTTGCTTGCTTGCTTGCTTTCTTGCTTGCTTGCTTGCTTGCTTGCTTGGTTTGCCTGATTTCGGATGATTGAGTTTTCATATTTGAATGATTGGTTGATTGATTGATTGATTGATTGATTGATTGCTTGGTTGATTGGTTGTTTTGTTTGATTTGTGGATTGGTTCATTTGATTGACTGTCTAATTGATTGATTGATAATCTGATATGGATTGATTTGAATTTGGCTTGATGTGTTGGTTTGATCTGAATTGATTGACTGACTGACTGCCTGACTGGCTGCCTGACTTGACTGACTGACCGATTGACTGACTGACTGATTGCTTGCTTGGTTGGGATTGGATTGGATTGGATTGGATTGATTGGATTGGATTGTGTTGTATGGTTGGTTGGTTGGTTGGTTGGTTGGTTGGTTGGTTGGTTGGTTGGTTGGTTGGTTGGTTGGTTGGGTGGGTGGGTGGGTGGGTGGGTGGGTGGGTGGGTGGGTGGGTGGGTGGGTGGGTGGGTGGGTGGGTGGGTTTGTCGGTTGGTTGGTTGGTTGGTTGGTTGGTTGGTTGGTTGGTTGGTTGGTTGCTTGCTTGCTTGGTTGGTTGGTTGGGTTGGTGGGTGGGTGCGTGGGTGGGTTGCATTCTTGATTGCTTGCTTGGTTGGTTGGATCATGCATAGGTTGCTTGGTGTTGGCTTTTATGTTGATGTTGATATCTCTTGATTTGATACTGAAGTTGAGATTGATATTGACATTGATATCAACATTGATATAGCTTGATGTGATTAACTGATTGAGCAGCCGGGGTGCAGTTGAGCGACCCCAGTTGGCACTAGATGTCCCCTGCCATGTGGTGGGTTCCACTGCCACTTTGGGTCCAAATCAACGACCTTGAAGGGCCCTTGTCCAACCTGACACCTTGCGCATGTCAGCCCTGGAACAACCCCGAGTCCCAGCATATTCTCACCAGGGGTCAAAGTACATCTTCGCGAGGGACCCTCGGGACCCTTGGAGCCCTTGCAAACTCTGGTTTGACCCAGGGACAGCGCTGCCACAATCAACCAGAAGCTGGCGGAGGGCAAGGATGTGGACGCTTTGCCCAGAATCTCCTCCTTTGCCTCCAGAGTGTTCTGAAAGTTATGATGCCTAAAATGGCCACGTGTCCTTTCGGGGCAGTTTCCCTTCAAATACCGGCCAAACAGGGGTCCACCATTTTTTGACCTCCACCAATTATCCATTTTGCCGCCTTGCAGCTGTTTTTGCCCGGTTCTAGGAGTCTGTTGGGGACGTCAACTGGGTTTTATGGCAAATAAGGGGTGCCTATTTTTTTCCCATGGCCACTGCTCTTTGGGGTTCCTGCCCAAAAGTCCGATCCATTCATTGGCAAAAGGGAAGCTCCCGGGCAAGATGGGTTGTCTTCTTGCAGCTTGGCCGACATCAGCTAAGAGTCCTGAGCCATGTTGGTTCCATAACCTTTCAAGCGATTTCAAGCTTTGGGTTAGGAACAATTCAGTCAACATGTACCGCAAAGAGGCCCGAACAATCTGAATTATTGTTTCTTGGTCACGTTGGAGCTTTAAACAATGCTGTTTGATACCTCGCACAAAGGGTTTTAACATGGAGGCCCCAAACAACTTATACATGATGCGCACGTATCAAATGCAGCAAGGCATCAACGACTGCATATTTGCATGTTTTTTGGGGGCGCCTAGTTGGCCAATATCCAGGTTCTCTACGGCTACTCCCTGTGGCAGTTGCAGCAAGTTCAGCAGAACCACGAGTCATCGGGTAAAGCCTTAGGGCCTGATTTTGGAGCTTGCCTGTGGGTAAAACAGCTGATGTCCAGGTCGAGAGTCCGTTTTTTGTTTTTTGTTTAAATAACGCATAGTAGTTTGTCCCGATGTCACAACATGTTAACGCCAGATTAGTAAGCCGTTTCTTCTTCCCCCCCCCCCCCCCCCAAAAGGTGAAGCCTCAGATTCAACAGGTTCGGGGAGAAGGTCATCAGTATTTACGAATCCAATCTTAGCATTATGACCTGGGGGCGCCGTTTTGTCCGGGACCTTTACGTGGTGGCGACCTTCGTTGCAAGCGCGCCTCGTTTGAGGTCTTTACGCCTGGGATCTACCAACTCGCCGAGACGCTAGAGATGAACCGCAGCGGCCAAGCCCCTCGGACATGAGCCAACTCTCGCGATCCAAGCTTTGCCCAGCGCCCGTGTTGTGAGCGACGTCGGATTTTGATCTCAAGCGTGGGCTCCCTTTGTTTTTGCCGACTGTGTCAATGTGTGTGTTGTTTCGGACAACCAAAGCCAATGCCGATTAAAGGGATATTACAATATACATATATATATATATATAATAATATATGTAATATAAATATATATATATATATATACATATACACACGTGTATACCTCATGCATATATGTATAATACATTATGTATAATATATATATATATACATATCTTTGAATTTGAAGGGAAACCTTGTTTACACACATTAGACACGGCCATGTGGCTATGAACTTTATCGGGCAACACCCTCGAAATTGGTGGACATAACTCTCCATGTCCTCTCCATGTTCACCAAAGGCTCCCCCATTAAAACCCATACCGCGGAGGCATGCCCAGCATCCCAGGTTCTGCTTGGCTTGGGCTTTGCGACGCTGGTGTCCCCGCCCAGTGACACGCCCTGTGTGCAGGCTGGGCGAGTTATGGCATGTTTTATTGGGGGCTGGGGGTGGAGGGTGACGCTGTTTTGGGCGGGTGTCAACTGGGTTGTTGAGGTTTGGGGTCTTTCAACCAAAAACCAGGCCCTTTAATTTCAATGGCTGGTCCCTGGCCATCCGAGAAGCGACCAGAATTCGCGTGTGGCCAAGTCCCCTTGGAAGAATTCCAAGTGACTCTTCGCCATTGCCGAAGCTGCCCTTCATAAGAGCATATTGGAGGAGATCCCAAACCAGGCGCGCTTTTCCATCAACTGGTCTTATGTTTACAAGTCTTCGGGAAGACGTTCGCGTTCACAGTAGGCGGCAAAAGAGAAGAATAACCGGCTGTACAATGGCATGTTTCGCATAACTGTCGCCCGGTCATTGCGATTTACACACGGCGATCCCACTACTGCCTGACAGATGAACGAGACCTGCTTTTTGTGCTGGGCCCACACCCGCTCAAGGGTGCTCCGCGCGTCTCTGCCGCATGTTAAAAGCTCGTCCGGTCACGAGCACCTGCTCAGCGCAGCGAACATTCCTGGCAAGCGCTGTGTGCCTTTCGCTCTCTCGGACAGTTCACACTATTGCCTTATTCTACTCATGGGTTTGCCCAAATGGGAGTACTTGGTGCACAGTACCCCGAGCTTTGAAATGATGCTGCCTATCCACACCTTTCCCCAGAGCGAGTTTTCTGATCTATTCCCATACCGGACGTGAGCGACGATTCTGAACCTGGCCCGGTGGACAAGCCGAGCTCTGACGGTGTAACGGCCCAGTGTTTGCTCATGGTATATGTTGAACAAATCCAGATTTGTGATATGTACCACCTCTTTTGGGGTCTGGGTACAAGATGTTGTGGTGCAGGGTATAGAACAAACATGCGGGTTTTCGTCAATATACCCTCCGTCCAACCGTCAACTCACTTCCTGAGTTCATGAACTTTAAACTTTGGGTAACTAAAAAGTTCAAACTTTTTTGGGCAATCCACTCAGCAAGTGAGTCAATCTGAACCATTTTGTTGGGTGAAAGATGGCGCGAGGTGGGCGACACCGCAGCCGCCGCGCGCATCTCCGGGCTCATGTTTGAGGCTGGGGGAAGCCATGGTATGTGTCTAATAGGGATATGGCTGTGGGGCAAAAAAAGGTACCCCAAACGGGTTGCCCTGCTAAATGGAAGCATGAACTAAAACCTGCGGTCCCCTGGTGGTTTTATTTTGACCCATACCCATATGGACCACCACGGGTGGTTTTCCCTTTTCCTTCGGACAAAAAAAACAAAAAGGTTGCCTCCTCAAACATGCACAGCGATCTGAAGATCATCCACTTTGAAAGGATCCCTGGAAAGAATGGGTTTGCATTTGCAATTTGGAGAACTTGATGTACTTCTTCCGGTGGGTTTCACCAGCCATCCTTCACAGGAACAGCAACTGGAGGGTTTACACTGGGGCAATTGCAAATAGTATGCACAAATGCTCGGGCACATATTGCCCAAGAAGCTCCAAATTCTATGCAAGAATGTTGTCAAACGATGACTCTGGGGCTTGTTTGAGCGCCATGAGTCCATGAGCTCTGTAGAAAGACAATTCCCGTCAGGGTGCCCGTGCTGAGATGTCTCTTGTTGATCCAGTCGTATGGTTCCCTTTTCAACACGGAAGTGGTGGAGTTTTTATACTGATGGTCTTCTGTTACGACACAGGCAGCCGGGGTGGGAATCTCAGCTACCCTTCTGGGACTTAGCGATTCGGTGCCAGTTTCAAGTGGACAAAGCCCCATTCATTTTTTGGGGAAACACAGAGGGAACCCTTCACTGTTGGAAAGGACTCCTTACAAGTCCCAATGTGTTACAAAGGGGATGTCTCCAGAAGGCGAGGTCATCCTGTTACAAGCTAGCTACCTCAGGGAGTGGAGGGTGGCAGCACCACCTGGGTCGCCCATGCAGGTGCCACTAACCTGGCTCAAAGGGACTTGCAGCTCCTTTGGGATGCGTCGTTTACGCTAAAAAAATGTCTGAGGTGTATCCAGTGCCGTTTCCTTGTAAGAGGTGCGAAAGTACGGAGTTGATCGAGAACATTACAGTGTTAGCCGGCTGTTCGATCTCAATCATGTTTACAATGGGCATATGGGTGGAGTCTCAACACATAACACATGATGAAGAACGTGTACACTAACAGATTTATGTAGCTGGGTGTAGAGTCGAGCACCTGTTGAATTGCATCCCCCTGGTTATCCACAAGGAGATGCCCTTTTAGCCTTGTTGGCATAGTCCCTTCGAGTGTGGCAAGGTCAAACAATTAGCTACTGGAGCTATATCAGTCTACCAGGAGGGGCGCTTGTTTCTTTGCAACCTACCACGGCCACCTTCAAAGTGGAACCAAGAGGAGATTGTGTAAGCAATAGGCGTTTAAACATGTTTGAACATTGGGTTGAATTGCCAACCCTGGTGCTCACATCTGAACGGTGCCCCCATTTGATCTCCAATTCCTCACTTCTATGTGTTGGAAAACAAACACTTGTATCTGAGGCCCGAGCGGAATGATTCGCACAAGGTGCGGATATGTTGACAACCATGCTAAATCTCGACAGCTAAGCGGATCAACGAGCGGTTGACACATTTCGAGACCCCTGTGTCGTTGAGTGTAGCCGACCAGATAGAGTCAACATCTTCCGTTCTCAACATGAGCCACCTGCCCACCTGTTGTCAAGCTTCCAGGCCAACATGTCACATTGGGAATGGCTGCCGGTGAACTCAGATAGGTATGAGTTTTAGTTTGGGACCCTTTGGTGGACATTTAGGTGGGGATGTATGCTACCAGCCATTTGTTCCAGGGTGCTTCCTATTGAAACTTATAGCCATGTTTTAATATGTTGTGTTTGCCCCTTTCTGGAGTTTGAAGGATAGAGTGCCTTCCGAGCTGACTGTTGGATGAAAGATGGCACAACCTCCCCGTTTAGGACTTGTTTCCTTATATAAACAGCTCACACAATACACCCATGATAATCTCATGATCAATGACTTGGTTTGGCTTTACATCACCTTCCACCCCCGTTCTGAATTGCTTAGACCCGCATACCTCGCTTAGGGGACATGCGAACACGGTCTTGGTGATATATAGAACCAGGGCTAGATGGATGTCTTTGGGCCTGGGTCCGGAACCCGGCTCGCGCAGGCCTTCTACCGACCTTTGGGCGGGAAGAACCCTCAGAGCCTCGGCGCCGGCCCAGAGGCGCCGACACTCGAAGAAACCAATCCATCCTAGCAGCCAACCAACCAACCAATCACCCACCAGCCAACCCACCAGCCAACCAATTCAAGGAGAATTTGGTGGATACCTTGTGGGTCCCTGGATTTTATAAATTCTGAGGTACCTGAAAGCCAAATCACGTGTTCAGCTGAAGCCGATCCACGTACTGGAGTCGAATGCAATAAACAAACACCCGACAAGCTGTGCTTGGATGCTCAAGCTGCTTAGTCAGTAGGCCACAACCAGGGTTGCGCAAGTTTGACAACAGGGGTTGCTTGACTTGGAATCATTTGTTACGTTGGTTGTTTGGCTTGCTGGCTGGCTGCTGGCTGGCTGCTGGCTGGCTGCTGGCTGGGTGGTGGGTTGTTGGTTGGTTGGCTGGTCGGCCGGCTGGTCGTTTGGTTGGTTGGCTGGCTGGTTGCATGGCTGGCCTGGTGCCACCAAATTCGTTCGGCTGGTTCTCAGAATCGGATCCCTTTTCGGGGAGTTTTGGAAATCCCTTGAGGATCCCCGAGGAATCCAGTGGGATGGATGGTTCTCCGGGGTGCCAATTCTTCTGCGCTCTTTCGGGGAACCCCCTTTTGGGATAAAGCTGAATCAACACGGAATCCTGCCCCAGGAATGGGTCCAAATTTCGAGAATGAAACCCCATGGAACCTTCCAGGGGGCCTAAGCCTTGCAGGCCCTGCTGCGGCTCGGCAACGGCGCAGCCTCGCGCGCCCTGAGCTGAAAGTGTCAAAGGGATGGGCTATGGGCTGACAACAAAGGGTTTCCCTTGCATTGGTTTTCCTCTTGGTTTTCACTTATTTCTTCCTAAACAAGGGGCCCAACTTGGAGAAACCCTGGACATGGTGGTTTGTTTTCCTTTGGGTTCCCTTCAAACTAACCTGAAAAGGGTTTCGAGCCTCAAGAAAGCACCGCCCCGGAAAACTCTGGGAAGCCTGAACAGCAAGGGTTTTCCGGCAACTTCAGTGAGGCCAGCGACATCGCACCAGAGCGATCCAAGAACTTTGGGTGATGCTTTCTCCAGAGCCTTTTTGCCAGCCCACTGAAGCGACACCCTGGACATCAATCTTAATCCAAGGAGAGTTTCTCAAACTGGTAGCGGTTTTAAATGCGGCTGACCGTTGGGCGCTATCAAAGCATATGTCCCGTCCACAGGAGAGTTGATCTAAACAACAGCCTCAGCCAATCAGCTCCTTTGGAATTCCGCATCTGCAGGCTGTAGAGGGTACGTCTAAGAATGGGGAACCCCCTTGCTGCAAGCAGCCAAACCAAAGGAAGCCGACCATTTTGGGTGGTCTCCAATTTTTTAAAGCATCCGCAGCTGGCGTCCTAGGCGACGCCACAAGGGCCAACTGTTGGACCTTCATCCACGACTGCTTCGCTCGGGTGGGCGGTCAGGAGGCGCGTCACATTGAGTCAAATTGGCGAGAGGACCCCGTGGGAGCGCGCTGCGCGATCAAGTCAGCAACATGAATCACCTCGAACATTCTCAAACAATCGTGAGTGGTTTTGTGGTCATCGCAAATTAAACTGCTAGAGAGACCGTTATAAATACGAAGGATATTATGTGTTTTGCTGTCGTCAGCTTCGACAGGGTGGGGGCAGCAACGATTCAAGCTGCGTCTCCAGGTGCAAACTGAAATTGGGGCAACCTCTTATCGATCTGTGAGTTCGTAAGTGCAAGATCTCGAAATGCTGGGCTTGCCCAGCCGAGACAATGTGAAGGTCCAATGAACGGAGCTGTTCGCCTCGTGTATCGCAGTGACCTCTCAGGTCTCTTGTTCAAGTCGGCTTGGATGTCAGCGATCAGGCACCCTTCACTGCCAAAGATGAGCTGGATGATTCCAGGCGCTGACCGAATCGGAGCGGGGAAGCCTCTCCTCCCTGTTGCCATTGAACCTGACTGTGATTGCAAGAACCATTCTCCGAACGGAACCCTGATGGTTCTGATAAATGCTTGGGTTTGCATAGCTTGAAGAGGTTGAAACCAACGCTGCAACTGCAGAGAGAGCTGCGGCGCTGGTGCTTCTCGAGCGCCAAGCCCCGTCCTCGTGGCCTGCATCGTCAAGTTTGCTTTCCGCTTTCTGATTTGTTGAGTTGGGATGTGGATGTTCCTTGCCAGAATAAGAGCTCCCCTTGAAAACGCGGAAGGGGCTTAAGTCTGAACCCTGCAGATGGCCCTTGAACAGGAAACACCATGCTTGCCTTCATGCGAGGGCAGAAACACCCACCCCACGAAGCCGCTTGCGGTGTGGTTGACAGGCAGCCGGTGCGGTTTTGGATTTGCTCGCCCCGTTGTACAAACTTTTTGAGGACCCACATCATAGGAGGGAAGCTCCGATTGGGCCAAGCCATTGGTTGCAACCAGTGGGGCAAGTTGAAGCAAGCAGCCCTGGCACCTTCGGAAAGACACGAGTTCGAATCTCCCGTGATTCGCATGATACCTAAGAGGAAGTCCGGGCTCCATTCGTATTTTCCAACTTCCAGATGAAACTGCGGCGGAAAAATTGGACAAGTCACACCCATTTCGTCCAGGCCCTGTGGTGAGGATGCCCTCACAGAGGCGAGGTGCCGAGCCTTGGGCCAAATTTGTGAAGCGAGCCCTGCAATTCTTGGCCCCCCTTTAGAGGCGGAGATCTCTTTTTATGGTTTTCCATGTTTGCCTGAAGACGAAAAGTGGAAGTGAGGACCCCTTCAGGCGGGATAGGTTGCGTTCTCCAGTTAGTTACTGGCATACACCAACACACACACACACACACCCCACAGAGCTTCTGTCGCAAAAGGGCCTATTCTCGGGCCCAAAGTCCGTCAGGTCGGATACTAGAAACAATAGCCGACCAGAATTAGAGTGCATTATGTTTCGTCTAAAAACGGATGCAGTGGGTTCCACCAGTTTCCCTACGTTGCTCGCATGCTATTTCAATTTATCCAGCCAACCACAGGGCAAGCAAGGCAAACTCAACAGGGCCAGAAAGCTGCTTCTTGGCTTCCCACGAGAACTGTGGCCATGACCAAGACCTAAACAGAGAGTTTCACCACATAATTGTGTGGAATGCGTGCACCGCTGCATACGTATATAGTTCTGAAGACGCATAATATGGAAGCATTCGCAGAGCACCCGACTTGCCCGTTCGGTTTTGGCTCAGCGACAGGTGCCCGGCTCCGGCTCTGGCATGCTTCCCTGTCGTTTGTCATGTTGTTCATTCTTTCAGACATGCTATGCCCAGCCAAAGGCTACTGAAGACTGCCACCAATGCTGTTGAGTGCTCTTGCAGCAGCAAAAGATCCACGGTTGCTGTTTGCCCAAATCAAGCACCCCCCCACCCGATTTCCTCTGAGGTGTGTGGCGAAACCTAGATCCTCCATAAGCCCAAGCACACTCTGGACAGGACAACAAGCTTGGAGTATGTGGGAGCACACTGTTCTTTGTTTCAAAATGCTGACACCCATTTGGCATTTGGGGGGTCCAATTCCCAGTTTTGATACTTTGGCCAGTGGAAAACCACCGAGAGTGGCGCGCCTTAGGCAACATGGTGCAAATCAACCAGCCCTGCGTTGCCGGAGATGCTGGCTTGCAACTGGCGGGCCGTAGGCTTTGTTGTGTTTTACTTACTATATGGGTGGCTTGTCTTTTTGTTTAGGTACCCCTTGTTTGGTGGTTTTACAGGGACAGCAAAAGGACAGCCACCATTTTGGAGGGTCCCCTTATTTACACATAATATATATATATATATATATATATCACCAGATAAGCACCATTTGCTTTATTCGCCCCACATATTTGCACGGGTCCGAGTAATCTTAGCTTGGTAGTTGGTTTACTGCCAATGCACAAGAAGAGAGCATCCTGTTCAAATCAAATGTTGAAATGTGTTTGTGTCGGTGGGTTTGAGCATCAAAGTGTGTGTGTGTGTGTGTGTGTCCAAGTCTCTTCGTAATGGCGTTTCAGGTGAGCCATGCTTCTTTTAAGCTGGCTGCCTCCAACCCCGCGTTACTCCCCATGCTGAGATGCTGAGTTGTGCTTTATCCAAACATTGCTCATTTGTGGGTGACAATTTTCTTGGCTGGATGGTCTTAGCATGATTGTCAATGGCTGCAGTTTGGCAATTGCAACCAACTGTGCTTTGCCTCCGAGTTAGTGCTGGGACCATGTTTGCCTTTCTCCGATAGCTAGTCGTTTCGCAGAAATTGGAGACATGTGGGCTTTCTGACGAATGGGGCTTCTGGGATAGTTCGAGGAGAAAAAGAAGGAACCTGAGGGGAAACACCCACATGCACTCATTTTAGGATCCAAAGGGAAACCGCAAGCCTTTCAAAATTTCACCTCGGACCTACCACGCACCTGTTTCTTGCAGATGTTGAAGGACTTACTTGTCCATGACATGTCTAGGCTGCACGTCTCTCTCATAGAGAGGGAAATGACATCGGCCTATTTTGTTTTGCCCACTCTCCGAAGGAAAGACGTGTCTGCTTATTCCGGTGCTCGGATCTTTTGGCCTCAGGTTTTTCAGAAAGCCCTGATTCGTGCGTGTGTGGTCTTCTGTTGTTCTTGTTGGGGCTGCAAACCGGTCACATTGTGGACATCCCAATTTCCCATGATGCAGTCTGGCTAACCCAAAAAGCGGCCCCCGCAAGGACATCCCCCTAAAAGTCTTGGTTTGTTGAGTTCCAACGGTATTCTGCAGGAGTGCAGGCGTTCAATTCAGTTGGTGTCTAGAGCCATTCGATGGTTGGTTTCTGGCAAGAGGAGTCGCTGAGTCGGTTTGCATCAGCATCCATCACTTCACGTCGAGCAAGTAGGGATTCCCCTAGTTGTTTGTGGTAAACAGATTGAGCCCTTCGAGAGATGACTGGCCCAATGGTGGGACTGGGGGCATGTTCTTGATTGTCACTTAAGTAACAAACAGGATACTTCATGGATTTAGTTGGTTCGTTCGCAGACTAAGTTTGAAACTACAACACGTACATACACATGTATCCATTTTGATTGATTTGTCTATCTCCCACCACCCCCCTTCAGGGAAGGACACCACCAAATCTATTATTGGGGAACCCACCCGTTACGGTCAAGGCTCTTGTTGCGCGATTCCAGCGCGATGAGACTATTTCACTCTAAGCTCATTACAGCAGCGTTACAAAGAGTGGATTGGATTCAGGTGAGGAGTTTCTCACGGGCGCTTAGTCACTGAGGACAACCTCTGGCTATGGCGGGCGGACCACTGGCTCTCGGACCGCTATTTGGTCTACAACCACGACACCCGAACGCAATCGAGGCGAAAACAGAACAGAAAAAAACAATAAATGGACCCCTACAACAAAGCTGGTTTCCTTTTGCCTTACACTTGACTATGCACTGGTCACTCTCCTCACCATCTCCCCGGGTTTTAAGACATCAGATCTATCCGTCCTGCTCCAGCTCCAGGGCCAAAATATCCCGATGTGCAAAGCTGAGCATCCCCTCAGGCGATTTCGGCGGGCTGCATATTGGGTGGCCAATGCTCAAAGGGATTCCAATGATAAACCAACCTCTTGTAGAGGTCCCTCATTTTGCGAAATGGCCAGGTATGTACATATAACATAGAGAGAGAGTGAGAGAGAGAGAGAGGGAGAGATACCACTGGTCGATTTGCGCATGGGCAAAAGTGCTTGGAAAAAGGTGGTGATTTTTTCAGTGCTAAGCGAACATGCCAAAAATGAACAACTTGTTTCCAGCTCGATCATCCCCACCCTTTTTCAAATGTAATTACTCAACAAAACAAGAAATTACAATCCCAATAAGCGGACCCCTGATTCCTGAGGGCTTCTAATCACATTGGAATGGCATGCCATTGAAGCATGGCCGAGCTGAGCAGGACAGACCAAGAGATTCGATCGGAAGTTCGAAGCTTGACAAGTGACAGCTTGGGATGTTCCTATAACAGGAATCCAAGGCACCAGGCCCCCTTTGAGTGTCCCTAAGTGCCTCAGCGGATTCTTTGTGTGGTCACAATCAAAGGGGTTTCGAGTCAAAGGTCGCGTGGAACTCCTTGGAACTTCCCAAGGTGGCCCCTCAGAACGGGAGGGAGGTTAATTATGACTACAGTTTACCTAAGGAGTTTCATCATCTAGATTGGGTCAACCTGACTTTTTTCAAAATGCGGGTTGCCAGGGTTTAGGTTCCCTGCACCCGCCAAAAAGTGGTCCACCTTCTGCCGCTGAACCGAGGAGAACTTTTGCAGCACCGGGCTGCATGTTGCGAAACAAGCTCATCATGCGGCCTACCAGCAGCGTGTTTTGTTGTTGAGGGCAGCTTGTTTCGGGTGGCTTTTCCCTGGGAAGCCGAGGGAAACCGCCCATTTGGGAAGTTCCCTCATGGTGGTGTGGTGCTGAAAGGAATGTACGCGCTGTTCGCATCAAAAGTAGGATACCAACCGGCTGTTGAACGATTGTGCTCAGCAACCAGATGCCAAAAAGCGACTTGCTTGACCAAAATGCCGCAACTGTCCGTCACATTAAGATGGTGACTATATGTATCTTATTCCAATATGCTTGTTGCAGTAGCCAAGGCGTGCAACCCGTTTGACCAACCACAAGTCATTGGCGCATTGGCCGGCAAGCAGACCAGTTGGCTAACAACAGCCCACGCCGGCCCAAGCCAAGAGACACTGGGCCCTCGAGAATGTGAACTCAAAATATGGGAAGACAAAACAAAACATCGGAGCCTCATGTGGACGGGTGGTCAAAACGGGTCGTCCGTTTCAGTATCCCCAAAAAAGACAGGCGACACGAGGCACCAGGGTCCAACAAGGGGTCATTTTGTTGCGCGGACGCGAGTTGAACGGTCGGGAAGACGTACCCCTTTGTTTCAAAAGTGTCAACTGGCCAGTGGGTTTTTGATTTTTTTTCTGCGGTTTGGGCATTTCAACCGAATAAGTGAACAGGTCTTTTCCGCAGGGCTCCATGGCGTGATTTGTGAGGTGAGCAATCAAGAACACCCATGTAAGTGAAGGTTGGCAAGGGACAATCCCAGCCATAGGTGCAGATATCCTTTTTGATTCTTTAACATAGAGGGTTTGGGTTCATCATGTTGGATTGGAACGACACGGGGGGCAGTGTTTTTGCAGCTAAAATGCCTTGTAGGTGGACTTTTTTGTACAGATGTGTGTTTAACTAGCTTCAAACACGCCGCCCCATGGCGTCCCCTTCCGGTCTACCAGGTTTCGATTGCTCAGGTGACCATGTACGGCCTGTTCGTGGAGCACGTTTTGTCCGACATGACCCTTTGGGAGGGCCGGGGACCTGGCCTTTGACACGTGGAGTGCAGACTGCCCTGTCTACCATGGTTTTGTGTTTGAGGGAGCAGGTTTCCCTTTTAACCGTTCCGAAATCAGATGCCAACAGCGGGTTTTCCTGTTTTCCCATGCAGGTTAGCGGGAAAGGGGAGCCCGGAGCCTTTTCGGTTTAAAGCGCAGGGATTGAAGGGGCCACCTTCCAAAGACCCTTGGTTAAGGGGCGGAAAGACTGGGCTTCACTCTCTATCCTGTTTCACGTGAAGTGGGGCTGTGGACTTGTTGGGGGACCAAACCTACCTCACCAACGCTTTGGACCGAGCTTGTTGGAGAAGTCTTACTCCCTGATTAGGTGATGACGGTCGCGTAGAAGCTCCGAACAAACATCACGGTGGGGCTAGGGGTTGGGTTTCATGCGCGTCTATGACATCACGGAAAGCAACATCAAAGCACATGCCCCTGGATCAAGACTCATGGGTCCCCTACATAGGTCTTCATTTTTTTCTGCACGCATGGTGGTCGGGGACGTGTGGATGATCATCCTTACGGCATTCCAGAACAGAATCAAAGTTTTGGAGTCCATCACTGCCCGAACTTCTTTTGTTTTTTCAAAGCTCTGTCCGATGATATCCCCCGAAACTCAACCCATGCGCACACGAACAGCAAGAAAGAACAATAGCGTTTGAGTGAGCCGAACGTGGCGACTACGTTCAAAGCCAGGTAATCGATGAGAAAGGCTTGTATGCCACACGTACGGGTATGACTCAGCGTGGATCAGCGTGGTCTCCGCCATCGCGTCCTCAATGCTTGCGTAACTCAAGGAATCGCAGGGCTGCTGCCTAGTTGGGCATGTGTCAAAATGGGGGGGACCCAACAATTGGTGGGTTTGTGGCTTCCCTCTGAAGCAAGGTGAAAAGGGCACCAAGCCTCAACAAGGCAGCCTGCGCATGCTTGGCCCGAAGGCAGAGACATGCTTTGCGCACGAACTGGCAGGCTGCGTAAACGACGAGGCGCGAAGCCTCATACAAGAACTCAAACGACGCCGTGTCCGTCACAGGTGTCCGTCACAGAGCAAAACGTTTTTGCCACGCAACTTTTTCGCCCGCAAGCCCAAAGTATGCGGCACCCGGAACGATCACGATGCCCATTTCATTAGCCCGCGTGCCACAGGGACCTTGCCCAGCCATGAGCAGTGCCCATGCCTTGAAGCACTTCGTCCAAGAAGTTCACAGCGACGTTTTGAACTAGCTACTTGTTTTTGACGCGACCACCCGAAAGCTTGATGCAGAACGAGCTGCTTGAAGACACTGTAAAACGAAAGAGCGACTCCTTCCGGAAGCGTTTTCCAGAAGTACTATTTTTCCGGTCACTCACCTTTATGCTTGGGTGGCAAAGGGAGTCGCAGGTGCCTAAAGTTTCTTCCTCAGGCGAAGATGGCACAACCTTTTTCTACCAGTCCGAGCTGCCCTATGACGGCATGGACGACCCGAGCTCAGCACGTGGAGAAAGTCCAGACAAAGATGGTCTAAGATGTGCACACCTAAGCTTGAATGCTGTTGGGTTCGATATTCAACCTTTGACGTTTCAAAGCAAACAACAATTTTGGCGGGGGATAATAGCCATCAAGTAACCACCATCCTCAGGTTTAGTCACATTTACAGCCGCCACGTAGCCACTATATCTTGCGGGTTACGAGAAGTCCCCTTGGTGTGGATAGGGGGGAAGCCATTTTAGATTTGGGAAGCCATTTTCCCGCAACTGCCACGGTCAGTCCACCTAATTTCTTGGTGGTTGCTAGAAGATGCTCATCATCCGATCAAAAGGATTCTAGACAAACATGTGAGGTTTGGTCAGGATTTGCACTACAGTAAATTCAGAGGACCAATTCTCCACAAAACCCGAGGGAGGCACTAGTTTTCCAGTCCTGTACGGGAGCCGCACATGTTGACCGCCCATGTAAAGGTTCCTTCTGAGGGAACCACGGCCGAGACGATTTGCCGATTTGGTGACGTTGCGCGCTTGTTTCCAAGCCAGTCAATGCGAATAGCAAGAGGAAGTCAAGTGGATTGAAATGGTGTAAGTTTCCACTGGCTGAAGCAGATGGTCTTCCAGCTTTTGACCCGAGAGGGCTTTGTCTTGCCGAATAGCGGTGGTATCCTTGATTCCAGTTTAATTGTCTGTGCTCATCGTGCACCCGGGTTGCTCCACGCCTCTCAAGGATGACCAAACCACAGGAGTAGAAAAATTGGTTTGTTTCTCTTCTTGCCATGCTTTTGTGTGTTCCAGCCAAAGATGGGGGCCCCAATCTTCGAACCTCCCCATATCTATTGCGTGCAAGTGAGCCATGTGTAAAACAGGTGCAGCTCCCACCCAACGCAGTTTGCCCGAAGGCGACAGCCCTCACTGCAAACTGCAAGCAATGTTGAAACCAACCAGTTGCCCGTTAAGGTCTGTTTGGGATTAACATATACTTATTGCCAACCTCCCCAATGCGGGCTTAGAAATCCATCTCTGGTACCTCGGAAGCGTGACTCCCAAGTTGCGTACAGTAAGCAGGGCAGCAGGGCCACGTTTTGATGCCTAGAGAGCCCCCCGTCATGTGATACATCGTGAGACACTGGGGATCTTTCAACCATGTACAGTAGGTTTGTTTCCAAAGAGGACACCCAAAGTAGTTGACTTCCTTTTGGCTTCCCTACGCCATGGGGTTACCCCCCACTTGAAAAGGGAAACACGTGACTGCGATGAAAACTGAGGAGGCGACGGCCAGCAGCAAATCTGTGGCGCCTTTCAAAAGCTGCGGGTACCGGGTGGGCGAAGATGTGCAGCGGCATTTAGCGGTGGGCCACTTGACGCGAACGTGTTGGGCGCTGCTCACTTGGTGTACTTGGGTTTAGTGATGAAGCTGGATTTATCAACCTAGTGGATTTATAGAGCCGTGTTTCGGTCAGCTTCTCAATGAGACACTCACCCGCGTGAGTTAACCGCGCGGTTACTTGATTGCTATTGGGTTGGTCTAAAGTCTAAAGTTTGGGAAATCGAGGGTTTTCCATTTGAGACACAACAAGTTGATCTTTTGCAGAGGGGTCAACAGCAACCAAGTTTACTGCGGCACTCCTAAATTCCCATTGCCTTTAAAATCGGCCAGTAGAGCAAGGGCATCCGTTTGTCATGGAGTCCAAATCCTGAGTAGCATATCCCCCAGCCCAACAATTCCAGTCACTGATTGCTGCCCTTGGTTGCCAGCAATTCAAGCTAGAAGCATGGGGCTGGTAAAGAGTATGTCAAGTAGGCACCAGAGCTGCAGCACTCCGTGGCGACACCCTCTAGACCTAGCATTTGCACCGTTCGGTTCCCCCTTTTTGGTTTTGTTCCACGAATTTTCCGTTCAACCTTCGTCGCCGGCTGTGTTACGGACCAAGATGCGGGAAGCAACAAGTTCAGTTTATGTGGGCCAAGCAGACCACATCCCAGGCGTCGGCGTCTACGCCTACTTCCGGGACCATGACGTCACCGTGCCGGCAGGGATCCAAGCACCTGATCGAGTGCCTCGGGTGCCAGGGCTCCCGGCGAGTTGTTTTTTGGGTGAGTAACATCGCGTCGGCCAGCGCAGAGTTTCTTGGTGATGGGGGATTTGTAGGGAGATCCTTGCCTTTCGAGTTCCCAGCCCAGACTGCCTGGGGGTTGCTGTAAGGAAATCCCCCTCTAATTCCACGGAGGTTTCTTCTAAAACATGGCATGTGGGTTCCATGGCCAGGGCCGAGAAAGGGGAGCTCTGGTTTTTGAAGAGTCCGCTGTAAAATGGGGTGTGGACGACAAAGGACGTGCATACCTTAACGTACTTCGCAAAATGCAAATCACACGTACAGGACTGACGTGGCTGCAAATCAACTCGCTTCGTAAGGAAACCCTATAAGCTCAAATAGAGCTCTCCCACTACTTGTCAATTCATCCTAGGCTCCCATTTGTTTGTGATAAATCGTAGTGCTAAAGCACCCCTAAAGCGAAGGACACCTGCGCGAAGAGAAACCGCCCCCAAAAGCGTAACTGCTGTGTACAAACGGGGGGTGGGCCTACGTTTCACAGCTACAAAGTGAGTCTTTATGTTTGTGTGTGTGTGCGCTGTAGTCAATCCGAGCTCCAAGCAAGCCGGAATTCTGTGTT